TTTTTACCTTTGAATAGACCAATGATTTTATACAATATGCAGATACAATATAATTCAAAGAATGTTTTGATATTGATGAAAGATAATTATTTTGACTAAGACTGGCCGATCAATACAAAGTCATTCCCACAGTCCTATAAAGGGTTTAAGTAACCTTTGCAAGAAAAGTTATTGTGTCACTACAAAGAATTTCTTCCTTGGCATGAATGCACGACAGAGCAGGAATCTGTCACAAATATGTTGTGTTCAGCTTTATCAACATGATATGAATTGAGCATTCACAACAAAAGTTAAATTTCAGGAATGTATTATTTTATTGTCTGCTGTTGTAAGCATGATTCAGTTGAGCAACCAGGGGGGACCCAAACTCAAGGCATGGAATTGTTTCAGCTGAGTGCAAGCGTAGGACATTATAAAGAATAATTTTGCAGACCAATTTCTTTTTTCTTTCTTCAAATATAAGGATCTGTACAGAAAGTGATCACTTTAGGTCTATACCGTCTATATATATATATATATATATATATATATATATATATATATATATATAGCCCCTACATTAGTAAATCCTGGGCTCACAACGAGGATTATGATGAAAAGAAGGAAAACAATCAGCCTTTTCACACACAGCTAAAATTCTATAAACATGATTAGTATAAACGTGTTTGAAACGTGTTTAAACTAATCATGAGCCTTTCACACACAGAAATTTTGTTGCGATCGTTAATAGTTTCGTGATTAACTACTGCTCGTAAAATGCACAGTAGTGCCATTGCGCATTGAAGGTCATGTCATATCAATCAAAGCGCACACTCCATCCAGTTTAAACACGTTTAAACACGAATTTCCTTTCACACACAAAATGTCAAGCTCTCTAGATACGAACTTTGTATCTGCAGCCTGCTTTTAGGGGCGTATGGATCGCGACTTCGTATCTATCCCAACATCGTATAAACGATGTTCACCCTGGGAAATTTTGTCTATAAACATGTTTAAAACTGTTGAGTGATTCTAATCATTTCTAGATACGATGAATTTTAGCTGTGTGTGAAAAGGCTGAATATGTTTAGGGATAATGTATAGTACATGTACCAGTATACCGGACTGTACATGAGGCATGGATATTTGAGATAAAGAAAACATACATGGATTGGAGAGAAGGAAACCCCCTCTTAAAACAATACGGATGTCGCTTACGATTTCAGCATAACAATTTCATTAAACTTCACTCAACATTATCGTTGACATCCAATGCAAAAACTTCAGAGAAATGCGATTAAGGGTTCTGGCATTTAAATCTCTTTTTAAAAACTTTATTAGCTAGGCAATTGGGACAATACATGGTTCAGGCTGCCAAATGTTAACTAAAGTTTACTTCAAATTTTATTTCAAATGATCACAGTGAGATTGTTTTTGTTGCTGTCTGGACAACAGTAGTTGAACTTATAGCCTAGGTTACCATCTTACCGTAAATGGTTATGTGGTCGATAGCATCGGGTAATATTTTGCCTCATTGTTCTAACATAATTCTTCAAAAGTAATAGTACCTTTAGTTCAAATGTGATACCTTGAAGTTGTTAACATGTGAAGTGCATCATCACCCTGAGAATCCTATCTTGCCCATCATCCTGTGTACTCTGATGACATCATCATGCATGAAGCTCGACATTACATCAAAGAAAGTTTAAGAAACATTTGTTGAATGGAAAGGTTGAGTCAGAGGAAGGGTGAGTAATGTGTTGGTCCCATGTCAAGAAACTAGCATGGTATCGTATCTCCTTAAAACAATATGTTGGGGCTGGGAGAAGGATGTGAAGAAAGAGCAGGAATATGGTTCATCTAGCTGTCTGAAAATTGTATGATACACAGTTTACACACAGGTGTTTACAGCAATGATAAGAGTTACTATAAAGGGTCATGCAATAGATTGAATAAAATCATTTTACTAATTCCCCGAAGCTATTTCCTTAATATGACCTTCTTTTGAAATATCTCTCAGGGAATAGGAAACAAAAAAAAAATTAAAATTTAGTTGTTTGCAAAAGATTTAAATCATTTTAACCCATGGAATATAGATGTTTACTGTACATTTATATACCTAGAATGAAAGAATTCGGTAGTCGATGTGGTAACTTTTTTATTTGCTTTATATTCCTCTTTCAACTTTTACATATTGTTTTAATATCAGTAAACCATGCCATAAATTAAATGTTCCTTTTGATGCGATGGAGCGTTTTTCTTTACCTTTCAATGGAGGTGAAGACCATGATTTAGGAGAGTCTGGAGACTGTGAGGTCAGGTCAAGTCTCCTGATAGTGAAATCCCTTGTTTCCATGGCTACTATTGAACAAATGAGAGGAGTTTTGGAGCTCTGTAGAGCTCTCTACAAAAAGGAGAAGGGAAAATTATGAGAGGGGAAATGGGACCAATATGGAAGAGAGAAGGCGGAAATATAAGGCCAAATAACAAATATAACGTGTTTCTCGTTCAAACTTTTAAAAAAGGAGGAGGTAGGGCATTATTTACTATTTTGCAATAGTTTGCAATTTTGTCTAAGATGGCTACCATTCTAATTATAGCTTGCCAAGCCTATTTATTCACGAATATTGTGCTATGTGAGTACACTGATGCGGTGTATGACAAAACAAATGATTTGTATCACTTTTAGTTAGAAGCTTTTTAAACAAAAGATATGTCACAGGCTTTATTTTGGGCTTGTTAGCTTTTTTTTTGGGGGGGGGGGGGAGGGGGGAGGGGCTTTATTCCTTAATAGTAAATAGTTTTTACAAAAGGAGGTGGCGGCGTCCCAAAAAGAGGCGGGCCGGACAAGAAACACTTCATTTTTGTTATTTGGTCTAAAGCATTTTAATGATTATCATCATCACGCTCGCTCCTTATTCACTCTTTTCTCCTAGTTACTGTTTCTGCAAACTGTTTATCTTGTTTTTACGATTTGATGTCATTATTATCGAAGTACATGTCATGTAGGTTATGGAATGACAATTGCTTTAGAACCATGCGGACAGAAGGCTTACCGGTAATGGAATATCCTTTGAATATGAATTGCAACAAATATTTCAAGAAATTTACAATATTATTACCGGTCGTATGTTATCAACTTTGTGACAGTGGATTCTGCTTTCAAGCTAGTTATAGATTCTTGAAAGCTAGGGGAAAACAATACAAAAAACATAGTTGTATATGGATAAACTGTACTTCATGAAGATGTTGACAGCGAACTGTAAATCAGCAAAATGAAATTGGAGAATATCGATACATTTTAACGACATCATGAGAATTGAAGTGAAAGTAACCCACTGGAAGAAAGGTTAAAGTTGAAGTATGATATCTTGAATAACATAATTGCTTCAGACAATCACATGTATGGCTGACATTTTGTGGTCAGAACAATGTACATGTAGGTACCTGGCCATTCAGATCAAGGAAACTTTAAAAACGTCTCTTTATCTTGTGCTAATTTTGTATTATCGTATGGGGGGGGGGGGGGGGGGAGGGGGGAGGGTGGAGGAAATCAAATGAAAATTATTCTCTTTCTCTTTTCTTCCCGTGCTTTGTCCCCCCTGTCATCTAATGTATACATAAACAACACAGAGACGTTACTGATCCAGCCGACTTGAAGAGCCCATCTTATAGTAATTAAACTTTCATAAATTCATAACTGTCCACTTTTCATACCAGCTTTCAAGGTTTGATTTCCCTTTAAAGCCCTTTTCTTCACGTCAGACTGTGATCATGATATAGAACATGCATGTACCATATGAACTAATGTATCCCGCAAGTACAATCAGTTTCCAAAGCACATAGAGGAGTGATTAAGAGAGGGGTAGGATAATCCTCTTCCAATCCTCAGCTTATCCCATCATGGATAATGAAGATCAAAGATGAAAGGTGAATGGGAGTTTGAGGCATTAAGTCAGTAAAGAGCATCAATGTTGAAACCTCATTCGTGATCAATCACTTATGCTTCATAGCACTTTAAAATCTTTAGAGAGGAAAAAGGGGTGTTTTGTTAAATCCTAATTCTTGGGGGGGGGGAACCCTTTTTTTTCATTGCATGTTATTTATATAATTATAATGGCCCACATCCTCATGAAATTGTGCTTGTATTTAGTTATAATATGAGCCTATCCGATTTATAGGCTGATATTTAGAAATAGAATTATATCTCTCTCTTCCCCTTCTTCCCCCCCCCTTCTGTCTCCCCTTCTATTCTCCAACCTCTCTCTCCCCCTCTCCCCCTCTCTTTCTCCTCCTTCTACTCTTCCTCTTCCTCCTCATAATTTGTTTCTTCAGTATGTTGTATTTAATATATCACTTCTTAGGGGGAAAATAGGATTGTTCTTGATTTATTTTTGATGAACAATGCTTCATAATTGATCTAAAGACTGCCCTGGACATGAAGAGGCCAAATAGATGAGAATGGGACAGTGATCTCATCTAATTCTAAACAATGTCTCCTTCAAGTCTTGCAGTAGAGCCAGAGATTTTTATCGTCAAGATTCACCATTTTATATAAATTTTCTTACTATGACAGTGATAATTTCTGGATTGTTGATTGGACTTGTTTTATTGATCTGAATGGATGTTTCAGAAGTGCTCCTAGACACACATTATTCTCGTTTTCAATCTGTTACATACCAAATATAATTTTGAACTCCAGTGTATATATATATAATTATAATGAATATTTAAGAACCACAAATAGCAACTTAAAAAACTTTTATTTGGAATGATGACCATAGGCACTCTTTTCCTGGTTTCCTTTTAAACGTGGACTTCAAAATTAGAGTATGTTGAATCGTGTTTTATCAAGATTTCTACAGATGACATCTCCAAGATTTGTATTTCCCATCCTGGCTTAGGCTGAACAGTTGTCACAAATCGGTTTCTTTGCATTTTGTAGACCTGTCTGTTATGTTGACTTCATGCATTGTTTAGATTTTTTTCCTTGTCCTGCCCCATCAGTGGTTTTAAGATTAATACTTGAGACTCAGTAAAGCTCACATGAGTGACTTACAATAATGTGCAAGGAATTCATTTGCAGGATTAGATGAGCAGAACTTGAGCATTTTATCACCGCTTTTCCGACTAGCTCTACATGAACTAAGCAGACATCAGTGGGGGATCTGTGGGGTTTGACGTGACTGATCTAGCATTAGCAATCAAGGATGTTGAGAGGGTATGTTCCTCAATAAACTGTCGATCTGCCTACAAGGTAACATGGACTAATTAAAGAGATTTGGAATGTCTTGGCTTAAGATGTGACCTATGAGTGTGCCTGTGACGCACTGGGATAGAGAAAGCTAAGGGAATTCTTATTTTCTGAGGGCGAGCACAGCCGAGCAGCAAGCGATTTGAAGATATCAGAAGATTTGTGGATGCGTGCTGGTGAAATGGTATAGGAATAAATGTAAAGTTTGATCAGTTGAACAAGTTTAACCAGGATTGGAACATGTTATAAAGAAGGAACATCAACAGATTTAAGAGTTTTGATAAATCAATTAGCCGTACGACTGCATCATTTGTTTCTTCAGTTTGGTTAAAACAGGACAGAGTATCTGTGTGTAAATGGATTTTATATTTAGTGGGCCAGATATTGGCGTTTGACAATATGGCTGTTCAACTACAGACTTGTCCTCTTTGTGTGTATTGACGATAAGAATTGTGTACTTAGTTCTTAGTCCATCTTTGGCTTTGATTGCCCCTGTGACTTGATCCAAGATGGAAGGATTATTATGTCTGTCCAAACCTGCCAAGGAATACGCTGAGTTCCAGCTGAGTCCATCGGAGAACAACAATGGAGACACTGGTTCCGATGATGCTCCTCCCAAAGCCAGCCTCTCAGGAAAGCTGTCTTCGACATCGATGACCTCCGTCGGATCGATGTCAGCGGTGAGCAACGAGGATCTCAAGGACTTCCTGGAGCAGATGAAATGGCACATCAACAACAAGTTGGACAACACCAGGATAGAGATGGTGGAACTGAGGAAGAAGGTCAACTCTATCGATGAGAAACTGAAGCTGGACAACACCAGGATAGAGATGGTGGAACTCAGGAAGAAGGTCAACTCTATCGATGAGAAACTGAAGATTGTCCTTGAAGAGAAGGAGGGGTTATGTGACCATGGTAACCAGGATGATGAGAATGGGACATTGGAAACAGAGAATGATCAAGGTGGAGCGGATGGAGATGGAGGAGGAGGTGGTGGTAGTGCTGGAGGTAATGGGAAGGGTGGTATACGCAGAGGAAGTGGTAGCCTTGCAAAGAGCATCAAAGGTGTCTTTATGAACAGTAATAATAACAAAATGGACAAGCATAGCAACGGAGGAGGAGGGAATGGTAGCAAACCAGATAAACAGACCAACGGTGGACCGATCGCGGAAGAAGAAGAAGTCGAGAAACGAAAGACAGTTACGTTTGGACAAGATGTTGTTGTGAAAGAATTCCAAAGAGTGTTTAGTGGAAAGAAAAGATCTAAGAAGGGTCAGAAACTGAAAATGAGAGAGGAAGTGGTGGAAGAAGAAGATGAAGAAGAGGAAGCAGATGCAGCTGAGAGGAGTGCGCTGGAAGATGAAAAGCAAAATGACATTCAAAAAGAAAATAGGAATGCTAAAGATGAGGATATAGATGATTTTACAGATTCTGAAGAAGAGACAGAAAACAAAGAAGGTAATATTTCCTTTAATTTCAATTTTTTCCTATCCTTTTTCTATCACTTGTATTTAATGACGACTTATGAGTGTGACACACAGTTTTGCATCCCGTGTTGCTAGTCACAGGGGGAACATAGAAGCATGCGTCATGCAATGTTCTGGTTCCTTCATATAAATGACTAATCAGCATACTGGTACTTTCTTCTAAGAATGATGAAACTTCACTTCTCTTAGGGTTTTTCCACATACATGTACATACACTAAATACAGCTGTGTATCTTCCCACAGTGAGGAAGCATTTATTTGAAATGCTATAATAATAAGTCTTTGTCATCAGTAATATTTGACAAACTTCGCAATCTTGAAAATTGAGGAGGAACCTTGAGTGTGAAACAACATCTACAGGACTGAGGTTTGGATGGGGTGAAAGTGAGAAGAGAGTACGAGAGAGAGAGAGAAAGAGAGAGAGAGAGAGAAATGTGAAATAAAGAGTTAATACAGCATGAAACTAGCTTGAAATATACAAAATTTATAATTTGTGAATTATATACGTACATGTAGGCTATTTGACACAGCAAACTTCAGAATATGAGTTCACCTTCTTCAAATCATTAATCTTCCAAATTATAAACATTTCCTTTCGTGTCAAGTTCATGACCAGCCAGGTTTGGTGAGGCTTTGAAATCTAGCCGTTTTATTGAAAGCACACCTAAGCCAGGGATTTAGAGATTTTCTGTCATGAAATATATAATTTAATCATAACCTAATGAAAATCCATGGAGTCCTTTGGGAAAAGAGTATTAATTAAGGCAGTCCCTTTGGGTGTGATCACTCTCTACACCCCCGTATCAGTGTAGGTGGAAGAGTCCTGCAGTGTGTCAGTGAACTGGAGGGAATGCTAGCAATGTGCAGGAAAGGAAGAGTTCATTGGATACGGAGGTGATGACACCTAAATTGTATGTCACAAGACATGATTTTAAAAATTGACATTACCATGCAAACGAATCCAATCTAATCTAATGAATCTAATCTGCCAAGAGTAAGAAAGGTTATTTATCTGGCATGTTATTCTTAACCTTTAATTTTACAGTATCTTTGATCATAGGTGTGAGCATTGCATAATGAATATGTCTACAAACGTGTATTTACCAAGTCTGAATGTATTGCTGGCATTATATTTGTAGAATGGCAAATCTTGAGCTGATGGTGATTTTGATGATGTTTTGTTGAGCACCTCATGTTTGCTTGTGTGTATGTATGTTTGTGTGTTTTATTGTTTTACTGTAGATTGTGCAATCTGCCAAAAGTTAGAAAAGCATTGATTCATATCATTTTCAAATAAAAACCTTTCAAGCTGTCAGAAGACGAGGGAAAAAATAATTCTGAAACAAACACTATGTGCTATTTGTTATATATTTTGAGCAGTGCCCCAAGGAAAAAGGCACAAAGGAGAAAAGCAGATATTAATTATATTTTGTAACACAACAAACAGAAGAGTTCCTGTGACTCTGGCACAATCCACTGATCAAAATGCCAATTTGAGATTCCCAGACCCATAGACTTTCATAGTGTCTCATATTTCAAACTTTTATATCTTTGGCCTTTCCGTTTATCTTTATTTTTCTGATTTCATACACATGAAATTATAAAAAGTGTTGGATTTCCCTATAACAGGAAGAAACTCCGTGGTAGGCCGGCATACTATGGGAAATAATAGGTCAGTCACCAGTGATCTTCCTAAAGACAAATACAAAGTAAAGGAATAAAACAAGAGCCACTGCTTCTCTCCGACTTTTCTCCATATCCTTAAAAGTTGTCCTCATAAGCTGTACAAAGTGACAAGTAAATGTGTCAATTAGGAAAATAAGTAGGGCCTAATCACATAAATGCTTCTGAAAACTGTCAAATTGAATAAGGAAATAGGCTGTTACCCCAATTACAGACCCTCCTCCCCATATCTCCTGTACGCTGAGTGTTTGTTCCAGGTTTCTCCTCACCTTAATAGTTTAAAAGAATTATCTTGTTAAGATGTCTTTAAAAGGTAAAGCAGCACATCTACATTACTTGACTCAAAAGCTCTTATTTTACAAACAATCTGTAATTTGAGCAAATAATATGAAATAAATTCTGCCCAACCAAAGGTGTTGATTTGGGAATAATAGAGTTATAATCTGAGGAAACATCCCCAATGAAAAATCATAAATCCCATTTACATTGTAGCTAAAAATGTTATTATAAGATATCAAAGTACTGATTATTCTTAACAGCATATACAGCTTTGGTGTAAATTTGTTCGAGATAAATATTTTAAGAAGCCCTACATCTGCCTGTATATCTGCCATTGTCATCATTCAAAATTTAGAATCATTCAGAGTTTATTCAAAGCCTATCAATTTGCACCGTTAGATGCATACAGACTCTTCCGAATTCCGATGATATCATTAAGCATCAGGTTTGTTTCATTGTATGTTAATTATATGATTCACACAACAGCCTCTCCTAGCTTGTCTAGATGGTGTAGCTTACTGTACAGTGAGTAACTATTAATGACAGCTCATGTCTTGTTTAAGTGAAACACTTTTGTTAATTGTATAGATATATTGACTGCTATGAGAGGCATCACTGTTTCTATAGGCGACGCCCGCCCCACCACACCTCAATGTCATATCAGGATGTAACCTCCCCGAGAGCCAGTATACACCACTGTAGAAACAGCTATGCTTTCAATATTAAAGCAGAACTATCTTTTATGTACCAAATTCACAAACGAAACATAGGTATATAACAAGTATTATGCAACCATGGACCTATTACAAATAGATTCATGATGCAAGCAACCAAGGGCCTCAAGAGGGTCTTACACCACTGAAAACCAGCTGCTTTCATTCACACTAGTTCCCAGTTGGGGGGGGGGGGGCAGTTCAGGGTACCAATTATGTTATATCACATACATGTAGGTAAATTAGACCCCCAGGCTATTTTCTTTTGAGGAATTTACTCCAACACTACAGTGTACATGCATGCATTCATGATCAAAAGAAAACAATAATAAAGATTCACAAAAAGTAATGGGGGCAGGGGCAGGAGCTTTCTTTTATTATTTACCAATCACTTCCAGTGTTAACAGAATTCCCATTTTTCCATTTCTTAAAATGTACTCTAGTTACGAATGAAATAATACAAATAAAAAATGATACAAAATGGATTAAAGAATTGATAATTAAGGAGAGAAATGAGTGAGTGGAATGTGTCAGATTGTTGAATGGATTTAACATGTCATTTGCTTGGAGATGAGATACAGATTTAAATGTCTGATTGTTTGTCTGATGTACATTGCAGTGTGTCATTAATTGATTGAATGACCGAATGATGAAAATATTGATTAAGCGGATTTTTGATAAATATATTGTTGATAAACTTTTCATTTATGATTCCAAAACTGTCTAACATAAAACCAATGGTAAGTTTCTTTCCCCACTAAATAATTGAGCTCTATGTTTCAGTTTACATGTGTTATGAAAACCATAAACATTATCAAAAGTTCAAATTATTTGACTGATATCTTTACTTCTAGCAAGCTGAGGACGTTTGATACTACATTTTTTGAAGGAAAGATATAAATGTTATGAAAAATAATGACAATGTTTTTTATTTTATTCATTCAGCTTCAACATCAGCAAAGAAAGCTGCAAATCATTCTGCAACAGCGTTAGCAAACAAAGCTGCGATAGATCTGGCTAAGGAGAGAGAAGCATCATGGAGAAATAGCAAGTCTGTAGATGGAGCGGTAAGAAAAGATAAAGAAGATTATGACAGAATATGTGAAATGAAGATTATGACAGAATATGTGAAATGTACTCTTGATGTCAATGATTTTGACAGATATGTTCCTAGTGTAGATGTGCCTTACATATTGTAGGTCAGTGTCTTATGTGTTTTCTGTATTAGTATAAACTTATATTACAGATAATATTTGCAGCATATGTTTGTATATTTCCAATTTTTTAGGTTTTTTTGTATAGTGATTCATTCTCCTCACCCTCAAGACCTACAGGGCTTGAATAATATGCATGAATTGATATGTGTGAAGTAAGATTGTTGTTAACTCTTTCAACTTTAATCGTTGGCAAATGTGAGTTAAGTCCTGCTGTATCTCTCTTTTGTTTTCAGAATGAGTACCAAAACACAACAATCAGTGGACAGTGAGTATTGACACAGCTAGCATATTAATTCCCTTGTGTTGGAGGTTCTATAATGTTTACCTAATTTCATTTGATGTTTGTGTTGGAAAGTAATGGTGTTGTACTGAAAAGTTATTTGCAAGTAGTATTTTAATATTTACCAATATTTGGTAGAGGGATAGATGTATTTAAATAGTTTATGAAAAAGTTATCTAGATGTTTGTGTTCCTACTGTGAAACTGTGTGAAAGATTGTAGGCAAAACATTCTTATAGCATATTTAATGAGATAGAACTGAAATGAATTGTTCCTCTTCATGAGCCATAGACTTCTGTACCTACATGCTTTTAGATGACTTTGAACTGATCTTGTGTTCCATATTTCCTCTTTCATTATACCCCAATATTTTTATGAGATTCATTTTTAATAAGTCTTTATTTCAAAGTTTAAATCTTTGTGGACATCCTTCTGATTTCTGTGTAATCGAATTGAATTGATTGATTGAAGGATTTTATTGAGTATTATCCATTATCGCAGTCCAAAGACTGAATTGCAATGGTTACAACAGTTTACAATGTATATACATGATAAAAGCAATTATACAATGATATATTGTAGTAGTCTAGGCAATCAACATTGAAATTCAAATAAAAGTGATCAAATGACAATTATAATGGCATCCATCATTAATTTCAATTAATAAGCAATGAAAATCCTAACTGAAACATTCTTAAAAAATAATATATACAATTGAATTGTAACTATCTTTGAATAGACCTCCAGAGGATTTCTATGAGGTGCCAGTGCAAGATGAACCACCAGCATTGCCATCCACAGCCAGCAGACCTCCAATCAAGAGAGTGATAGACGAGAATGAAGACTTTTATGAAGATCCAGATGACCAAGAATCAGGAAGGGTTTGTAGTAATCTTTCTCTTTCCATTACCTTCATTGACCAAAGCATGTCATATTGGAAAATCATTCCATTCACTTGCTACCCCTACTAAACTCTTTTTTCTAGGCCCTGTCTGATTAATAGCTGCTATTAATGCAAATCAATTGCAGATTTGCAATTTCCTATCTCTTTGAATTGCACATTTGCGATTGATTTCAGGTTGCATTGTTTCTTTATGAGAAGGGGCTCTTCTCAACTTCCCCAAAGCTTGCCATGTAACTAAACAACTTTGCTTTTGATGTTTTTTGTGAGTTTAGGCACTCCATATGTCTTTGTTTTGTCACATGATTTTGACTGCTCTAACAGCTAGATTTATGTTTGTGATCATCTGAGGCATTTGCAGTTACAGCAACAGAGCTATTTTCATTTCCCTTTAAATGTATTTCTTACTGCCTTTTGAGCACATGTCAAAAACAAAAGGAAGCAATTTGGAACCAAATGCACTGACCAATTGATAAAGTTTGCATCTCAAGTTCATTTATTCTTTCTGGGATTTTCTTGTTCAATATTCCTTGGTTACTAAAAGTAAATTAAATGCTTTATGTATATATAAAACAATTATAAATGCCTCTTTAAAAGGGTGCAAAGGTCTTGGAATTTTTCTCCTAATTTGAATGTATCTTGAACTTATGCTCTAGAATTACTTTAAATGCAAAGGGCTTGCAAGTGCTAACTACAGGAACTAATGGCTATACATGTACACACAGATCAAACCTTATATCAAAGATCAATGCACATGACCTGGCAGACAGCTTAATGATTTGCACATCAAAAAATTCATCAGAAATCTTTTTAACCAAAGTTCATTTGACATGCCTTGCTGTAACCTTGATTGACTTGAATATTTATCCCCTGATGCCACACCCAGCCAGAAGTACGGGTTTGTACTCTTTTAATTAAATGAACTGGAATGGATTTTAATTAAACTAACCACAGACTCCCACAGTTTTATGTTTGGCTATAAATACTTATCATTTAGTACTTGACTGAATATGATTCAGCATACAGGCTTCTTCTCACTTCCTGTGTCCCATTCATACCAATGGTTAGTGAAGTATAAAAGGGCCAACCTCATTCATACCAATGGTTAGTGAAGTATAAAAGGGCCAACCTCATTCATACCAATGGTTAGTGAAGTATAAAAGGGCCAACCTCATTCATACCAATGGTTATTGAAGTATTAAAGGGCCAACCTCATCCATACCAATGGTTGTACCAATTTGTATGTATGTTAGTAATTTGATATCATTTATTTTCACCAGGGCATACTTCTTTTTAACAATCTCGGGCTCTTTGTAAGCCCCTCTGCAACAACATATGTAATTTTTACTGTTTGTGTGTATTTTTGAATCACTGAACTGATTAAAACAGAAGATAATGACTAGTACATTGATTCAACATTTTATTTAATTCATAGTAAAAAACAACAACATTGTATCTATTATGTACTCCCTTAGTTCAGTTCAGTTCAGTTTATTAATATCATCATTTCGCAGCCTGGGCTGAATTGCATGACAATTTACAATTAAAAACATATCATATTTCTTTCACAATTGTTTCAAATATACTACTAGTTAAAATACCATATAATTAGTAAAGACAATGAATTGTCATCAATAGTTAGATAACTTTCTAGTGACAATTCACAATATTAGCATTAAGAATAATTCAATGTATATATATATATACAACAACAATATTTGCATTAATAATATTATCTAATTTGGTTTTGCATCATTCAGTAGAGATTGGGTAAAGAAGTCATTGATAAGGTATTTGAGTGCTTAATTGAACAAAAAATAACGTTGTTGATACCTGTAATGTTATGCGTAATACCCATGTTCATGCTTCGATAATCAATTATGCCCCTGGAAATATAATTATATGAGAAATATGTTCTGATTTCAAAATATATATCGATAATAATAATTAAATAAATAGTGACACCGGTTTCGTCAAAAAGAGTTATGCGTACATTGTTCTCTATTCACCCCTTTTATACAACCTTGGCATTATTCATTTAGGCAAGTTGTCAGAAATGGAATGGAGCTATTCTGATATCTTTTTGTCCTGGCATTGATAGATTTGTACGTTCGGCTGGTCCTGAGCTGCATGGAATGAGTTGTGTCGTTGAGAGGGAACACATTCGAGTATATATGGGAACGTACACATGCTTCGGCAAACTTTGTACATAGGTCATGCCTTCTTTCTTCTAATGTTTCTATTGAAGCTTCTTTGAGAGCAGTTGTGTAAGTGAGTTCAGCTCCAAGTACAATCCTCATCGCCCTCTTTTGGATTTTTTCCAGTGCACTAGTCTGCAGCTTTGTGAGTCCAGGGTGCCACACCGGTGCTGCGTATTCCAGAGCTGGCCGGACGTAGGACTTGTATACGGCAACTAGATCTTCTCGTGGGATTCGAAATCTCTTCAGTCTGCTCAGTATATGTGACCCGGCACCACAAAACCACCAAAAAGTCGCAAAAAATTATTTTCCTGATTTCATCTGATTATGAAAGAAGCAGTTCTCCTCATTAAAATGGTATATTACTTGTCCAAATTGAAGCTTCCTAACCCTTTCAATTTAGTGAATGAAAAGAGCTGGTGAGGGAGGTTACTGGTATTAAATTGTGAGAAAGGGAGCTTTAAAGTTTGGGGCTATTCAAGCATGCGGAGCAAGCAAACCACAGGGAAATCAATAGAAGGGTGAATCAAAAGGCCATAGCAACCACTATGAAAAGATTTTCAGATTAGGCTGAAATTTGGCCTGATGGTCAAACATAGTCTGTTCATTATGTTTCTGAGGTTTCAATGTGTGGACTTAAGTCTTTCAAAAGTTATTATGTTGTAAATGTATAGAGTTGTAATTGGACAGATTAAGTGAACTGCAACATAGTGCCGAGACACCTGCACTAGACAATGCCTATTCATGGTGGACCCGGAGTCTTTTTGTTCCCCCTTACATAACACTGCTTGTCACCTATCTTGTTTTGTATACATCTGGGCAATTATTTGTAACCACATTATGAACTTTCTTTATACTTAATTCCCATACTGTTTTCTTTCTCACAGGAATTTCAAAGTATTTTTACTATGACTTGCTCTTTCATTTCCAGTAGCCATCCTGATGATAATTAATGGAAGCAATTCATAAATACCAGCCAGAAAGTGGTATAAAAATAAAGAAAGGCAGGAGACACACAGTAAAGACACCAACATAGAATAACGAAAAATAGAAAGAATGAGAGAGAGAGACAGAGAGGGAAAAGAAGGGGGAGAATTATGATAACTGTAAGCAAAATGATGATATCAAGAGTGTGAATGTGTGTTTACAATAAGAACTTGATTTCAAAACTCTTATGGGAGAATAAATTTGGAAGCACATCCCACGGCTCTGCTCACGTACAAAACCTGGCATTGTAACGACGTTGTAGACTTTTTCACAACTTGTCACTCTCAAATGTATAAAATATAATAATGTTCTTACTCTTGATCAACAAATTCTGGATATGTGATGTACAATCAAGCTACTCGAAGTCGTTAACGGAGAATATAAGACGAACGCAAATCTGGAACTCGGATGTGAAAGCGGATACAAACAAAATGGCGCGCCGCACTGATTGCTATAACGGACCAATCACAGCCCGCGTAGCACGACCCGTTAGCAACGACCGACCATATCCGGACTACGATAATTTCGCTCGGGAAAAGTGATCAAATTTTGGAAGAGACCGAAGGCTGTGCGAAAAAAACTGGTCTAGAAAAACCGTTTAAAACACATCTTCTACTATGTTTTAGACTTCCAAATTTTGATACTAGGTACAGAAAAGACCACTCTTTCAGAAAATGCAAAAAAACAAAAATCTATTTTTTTCACCTAAATTGACATTTCAGCTGATTACGGAGAATCGCTGGTTGCGACTTTTTGTTGGTTTTGTGGTGCCGGGTCACATATGTACCCGTTTCTTGCTCTTCGACATCATTTCTTTGACTTGTTTGTCCCATTTTAGGTCACCTTGAACCCAGACACCGAGGATTTTCGTTTCATTGACCACCTCCAAAACATTCGGGTCTAGAGATATGTCTGGGGGTGCTGGTTTGGTTCTCTTGAAGCAAAACTGCAGTTGTTTACATTTAGCTGCATTTAGTTTCAAGTAGTTTTGGTCAGCCCATTGCACCAGGTCGTTGACAGCTTCCTGCAGGTGAGAAGGCTCATTGACGGTCTTGGTCTCGCCGATACTAAGATCGTCTACATACTTCCATGTATGCAACTCTGTCGACTCCAGTGCGTCATTGATGACTGCTAGAAAGGCTAGGGGGCCGATCTTTGTTCCTTGGGGAACGCCACAGGTTAGTTTCTTCCAGGAGGAGATAGCGCTTTGGTATTTTACTCTCTGGTGCCTATTCGTTAAAAAGTCGGCGATCCACGGGATGATTTCCGGACGGACTCCCATATTTAAGAGCTTAGTTACAACCACGGTGTGGTCTACCGTGTCGAACGCCTTCGAGAAATCTGTGACCACAAGATTTCCTACAAAATCCTGTTTGTCTGATTCCTTGTAGAATTGATTCATCATTTCAATCAAACAGTGTGTGGTTGATGAGCCTTTGAGGCTTCCATACTGATGTCGTTCAATATTTGGCCCCATGTCATGTTGGATCCATTTAGCCACGAATCCCTCACAAACTTTCGCACATTGGGATGTTAGTGACACAGGCCTGAGTTTTGTGATGACAGGAGGTTTCTCTTTTGGCACGGGAACAACATCTGCGTCTTTCCAGATCTGAGGGACCTTGCCTTCCCTGAGAGAGGAGTTGAAAATGTCTGTCATGGGTATGCTGATCTCGCAAGCAAATTCCTTGAGAACTCTGTTTGGCAAGTCATCAGGGCCGATGGCTTTCTTAATGTTGATCCTGTTCAGCTCCCAATACATCTCCCACACTTTGACCTGTGGAGGCTCTAGAGAAGGAAGATATGTCGGAAGGTCGGAAGTACTTAGAGGCAGTCGACCCTGTGATGTAGATGAAAATTCCTGGTTAATGGCATTAGCTATTTCCTCATCACTGGCTTCAGGGAGCGTTGGCACAGATATAGGAGAGCGTTCTTTGATCTTATTGGCGAGGAGCTGAATGCCACTATGCCACTCCGAGGGGTCTGAAGATCTTAGCCCTGCTAAGGAGTTGTCATAGAAGTTCTCCTGAGCCTGTTTGATTTGGTTGCTGGCCAATTTCTTGTAGCGCTTCCATTCGGTTAAGGAACCTTGGGCAAACGCTTCCTGACGCATCTTGATGGTTTCTTTCACTCGTGCGGTCATCCAAGGCTTGTCAGCACTGTGCAGTTTGACTGATCTACGAGGAAAGTATTTATTTACTGCTCCTTGGATCAATGTATAAAAAGCGTTTGCTTTTGATTCCGTTTCTGGTACGGAAAGGACTTCCTGCCAAGATTGGGATGTAACCCACCTTCCAAACTCGTGGATCCCTTGATATGTCATTGGACGTGATGTTTTCTTGAGTACCTTGTTGGGAGCCTTTGTTCTATTCTTTGCAGTCCATATCACCGTGTTATGGTCACTCATTCCCAGAGGAGACTCAATGGCGGCTGACATGTAGTGTTTTTTCATATTGGTCAATATCAAATCAAGAATCGCCTCACCTCTAGTTGGCTTATCTACCATTTGTTTGAGTCCATGTACTCTCAACAAAGGGTCTACATCTACCCGGTTAAAATCTCCCAAAATAACAAATCCACAGTCTACATACATAGTGCCTAAAACATCAATTGAATTGGTTATGTGATCAATCAGGGCTGTGTGATGAGGGGATCCTGGTGGGATATACACTACACATACAATGATACTTGATATACGTCTAGGTAATCTATGCGGTCGTATCCTCAACCAGACACATTCAAATTCATATTCAGAAGGAACATATATCATGGTAAGGGGAAATATCGGTATATCTTTCTGAACATACAATGCTACTCCCCCACCACGCCGTGTATGGCGATAATCCGTGAATGTCAAGTAATTATTTATCGACAACTGTTCATCTGATATATCAGGCGTTTGCCATGTCTCAGTTATAGCTGCTATGTCAATGTGTCTATTGTTCAGTATAACACCAAGTTCATCCGTTTTGTACACAATCGATCTAGCGTTCGTCATGAGAAAACTTGGCAGAGCGTGATGGGCTGCTTTCTTCGCTGGTTCTACATCGATGGAGACCAGTGTCCTCGGCCGACATTCATGCTGCTTGTCATCATTGTCCGTCCGATTCCCAGTCACAATGCTAATACTCCGTCGAAGATTTCGCCCTCCTCGTTTTCCCCGCCTCGTTTTTGTTCGTGCTAATCCAAGCTGTTTGATCAATTGTTGTGTGTCTCGATTGAGAGTAAACGTTCTGTTATTCAAAGCTCGGAGTTGATCTCTAGTATACACCACAGAGCGTGAAAGTGAACACGCCCCTGTGCATTCACGTAGTTTTCCATCCATGTTGGGCACAAATGACAATTCTCCAACACAAATTTTCACCAAACAGTAAGCAATGTAAATTGCCAACAATGTGTTTGCCACTATTGTTACTCTGATGAAGATCATTTTCACGTCCAATATCACACTCCTTGCTTTGAAAAACTATATTCTCAGTTGGAATGTTATGAAAGCAATTAGCTTGATAAAGTGGGACTGATTGATCTACTGTCAGTGTGCAGGAGGAAGTGAGATCAAACCTCACCATGTTTGCATGTAACACTATTAATTAGTCACTGGTCAATCTATAACATTAGTCAGGAACTGAATTCTTAGTCAGAACTCAGAATACCCAATGTGCAACTGTCTTGTTTTGTTAATATTACCTGTATTGGGTGGATTAACGTAAATGTATATTTCCTGGATATACAGTATCTATCTTTAAACTTTTGAATGGGTGGAAACTGAAAATAATGATACATCTTATGTAATGTGCTTTTGAATGAAGAAATCAGTTCTTATGGATGCGTATGCTTGATAGCTTTGAGTTTGTTTATATTGAGGATATACCAGCTGGGATGGTAAGTGTTTCAGAAAGAGTTTTCTTTTTTAGTTTAAATGTAAATTACAATAATTTGATTAAAGCAGCAATTGATTAAAACATTTACATACACCAGTACCTACATGTACTTCATATTTGCAGTAGTGATGTTACCAGATTGTGTGACAGCAATTCATGCTAAAAAATGAATTCATACGATTTTCATCCAGTAACTTGGTTGTTACTTACACACTTTCATACATTTACAGCCTAAACCATCTCTGACCAGCACTGTTAATTCAACAATGAGTTTAGCTGATAAAGTTTGAATCTTAATTTGAAACATACCTGTAATCCCTTCATATACATAGCTATATCAAGCTTAAACCTTTATTCAGTGGAATAGTATACTTTAAATACGATACTTATTTAAAGACCGTCAACACTGCTGGGCCAGAAGGGATTAGACCACACAGCGAGGTCACTGACAGGTGGCTATCTCATTAACTCAGCTCTCAACTAACATCAGAAAAAGAGGATCATGGGGGACCAATGGTCACCGATTAGACATTGTTTTCTACATAGAGGGAGCAAGTAGCTACCTGTAGTAAAGTGTGCCTTAAACCTTTATTCAGTGGAATAGTATACTTTAAATACGATACTTATTTAATTAATTTATTCCCATCAATACAGTGTGTTGCCAATTTATGAAAAAGTTACATAACTAAAAATCCATCAAAATGTGTCACGTACACAAAATCCGGCAATAAACCCATTTCATTTATGAAAAGGTAAACAAAGAAGAGGGTATGAGATGCAGTGTCTTGGCATGGCTGCCTTAATTGTGTCATAATGCTGCTGTTATTTCACTATATTTATGCTTAATCTTTCAGGGCTCCATGCCTCCTGGTTCATGCAGTGATGAAGGAAGTGGAAACACATTTGTCTTCCCACAAAAAGGAGAAAAAACTAGTAAGAAATGCTTTGGAATTAAGTAATACAACCATGTATATATTGTTTAACATCTGTTCAGTATTGTCGATTGTTCATCAGGCCTGGGCTTTATTTAGCTCCAAAATATTGATTGAATTGTTTTAATGATAAATTCATTCTACAGATAATTATGTTTGTATGTTATTGAACAAATTTAAGAATAACTGCAAAGATTTGTGACCATTTGAAATCATCAATAGTACCTTTAAATCATTTCCTATTCAATAGTTTTAATAGTTATCACTCTACGCATATCTCCCCTCATACTATTTCTTCTGAAAAATACATACATATTTTTCTGTCTAATACCAAAGTCGTGTAAATAGAGAATAATAGAAAGTAATGACATAATATACTTTTTGTTCCTGTACAACAGGAGTAGATACATCAATAGAAGTTAGCCAAGGTCGGAATCAATCATCGTCATATGTCACCTTGAGAAAGCGAGTATTAACATGTAACTTATTGAAGAAGCGAAAGCTGTGCCTAAAAACTAGCCATTCAAAGTCAATGCCGGACCTCAGTCTCAGTAGTTCAATGACAGGTGCTGTAAACATAGCACGTTTGGATCAATTCTGCACCCTTGTCATGCTTTCTAACCTGTCAAGAATGATATTTGAACCTGTTTCAACCTGCTGATATTGTGTTTGACAAGTGGAAAAGAAACTTTTACTTTTACATATAAAAAAATTATTCACTATTCATTCACCTTGCCCAGTTTCTGACCTCCTGCTACACACATATTATACACTAACATAGAAGATCATAAAAGGCCATTCGTACCACATTATTATTTTTGCTTTTTATTTTTGTTATTATCATCATTTCAGTTTACCATGTTACTTTTTTAATTTCTTTTTGTTGTTAATACTTTGTTCAACTTTGACATTACTACAATGTACTTGGATCTAAAATACTTTGAATTACACAGTTTGTAGTAAAAAAAAAGAAGAGCAAAAGAGCACAAATAGATTTAATCCATTTGTGTTGCATGATCACACTGGGGCAGTTATGAATAATAAATATCCAAAGACAACTACTGTAAGCATTGTAATATTTGAGTCGGTAGCAAGTGTTTAAATGTGAATTATTTTCACACAATGTATTAAATTGTCACTTTTTGTGTGTTGTGTAGTATTTTTTATACCATTGTATGTTAGATTTGTCTGATAGAATGAAGTAATATGCGAAGGCAAAGCCAATTTATTCCTTCTTTTAAAGTCTTTGTTAATCTTCCAATCCTCTTCCTCCCAGAGGTGGATTGATGTGATATTAATTATTCATGTTTTTAATTCAAATACATTCATTTATGATTTCTGGTTACATCATTCCTTATGATTTATTCACTGCCATAGATATATATATAATAATAATGATAATAATGAGAATGACAAAAATTACATTGAAAACAAACAGTCCTAGTTTTTTGCCCAAAGCAGGATGTTCTCTCACAAAATGTAAACTCACCATAAAGAGCTCAATGTCAGGTCAATGAAGAACATTTATATAGAAATTCTTTATTTGAGCTACATAAAAGGCACATAGCCACTAGCTAAAATATTACTAAACATCCCAATGAGTAAATACATGTACATGTACATACATAGGTTTGTATTGAACCAAGAAGGTGCGATATATTCTGTAAACAGGGATCCTCATTCTTTACTATGTTTTCTTCTTCTTTTGGGGCTACATGATGTGTGTAGGGTCTGTTTGTGTGGACCCTCTTCATATCAAGCATGTAGGGGCGGGAGTGATCTTTTGGGGGTCCAGCTTGGCCCCATCTTGATAATCAGTCGCAACTCTATATAACACAGGGCCCATGTGTATTGGACCCCTAGCTGCCAGTGTTACATTTTGATACAAGTTACATGGAATACCTACTTTGAAATGAATTACACATGTATATGCTGTAGAAGACTCAGTTTCTTGCAATTATGTCACAATGTTACCCTATTATACAAAAGCAACTGGTTATGAAGATTTAAATTATGAACAAACCGTATGATTATTGAGTGTACACATACTTGTATGCTTTGCCAGCCTGTGAAATCATGAGCAGCATCAAAGAATTTTGTTTGACGATCTTCGTCTGTTCTTTTGTTTAGATTATAACGAGGATGATTTCAACAGTGACTCAACCGACTATGAGGATGTAGAAGATGTTGATCAAGATCATCATCACCAGTAAGTAGCAGGTGGTGGTGGTGGAGGGGGGATGGGGATCATCATCAACAGTAAGTAGCAACACGCTCTCTTCAAGAGCTTTTAAATGGGAAGGAATAGATTTGGTGAATCTACAATCATCCACCATCCCCTCTCTTAGAGAGTTTGTTAATTCTTTACACTGAGAGATGTACTCATAGTCAACTGGTTTAACACTTGACTGGAAAGATGATGGTTGTGGGTTCAAGCCCCGGGGCGGCAATAGTGTCCTTTGGGAAGACATTAATCTACATTTGCCACATTCTGCCCTGTTTTCAACTGTGTACCGGTAGAAACTCCATGAATGCTCTGAGCACTTGGAGTGCCTTGAGCACCTTGCATACTTGATTTGGAGCCCCAGTGATATTCAGTAACAGTGCTTCTTGCTAAAAATATATTTGTCTCTCATTTTTTTCAGAGAGAAACGGAAGAAACCTAAAGTGGACAAATTGGATGAGTTCAAGAATGATCACAGTAATGAAGAAGACATTGATCTCATAGACAGACTGCTTATGCTCAACAACTTCTTCAGTACAATCAAGAGTGTCGGCGGCAAGTGGGAAAAGCGTTATTGCATCGCTAAAGATGGCCAACTCTTCATCTACAAGTCATATAAAGTAGGTGTCTACATATCTTCCATCTATGTCTCTCTCCTGTGTTTGTCTTTCATCATTCAACTATTGTTCCTTCACAAAATGCTACTTTATACTTGGGTGTAAGCCTGTCAGGAATCCTACTAAACATTGGTGACAGCTACCTGTCTGTAAAACATACAGTTCTAAAGAAATACTTTACCTTACTCAGATTGACAAAATGCTCTGATGATGCAGCTTAGTCTTAATTATAGCTCAGTCACATCGCCAGACAAACTCCATGCCCACTCAAAATTTACTTAATCTTATCCTTTTCAGGTCATCTACTTTTTTTGTTTGATTTGTTATTTGTCAGGGACACTTTTTCCCCATGACTTTGATATACGTGACTTTGCAAAAAATAGATCAGACTTTTGTCTAGATGAGAGTGATGAGGGCGGTGAGGGTATGAAATTGAAACCCCTACTCCCCTTCTATCCAGTCAAAGCAACACTAAAGATGCTCTTTCTGAAAAGGCTTCATCTAAAGTATTATGCAGATGAATAGGAGCATTATCATTACACCGTCATGCACATAACCACACTATTCTTTTATTTTTGTATGATTTGTTTCAGGACAAGCAATCAAAAGCTCAGCGGTTACCGTTGATGGGATATACTGTATTCTTGTTGGGTCAACAAGGTAAACAGGATAATGTGATCAAGATTGACCATCACAACCTCAAGCCTCCTGTTCTACTTGCTTCAGATTCAGCTGAAACTTCAAACAAATGGGTTGCTGTGAGTAAACGCTCTTTTTGCAAAGCTTCTGCTGAACTTTGGAACAGACTACCTTTAAATGTCAAAAACTGCCAAACTATTATTCAAAACTAGTCTTAAGACACATTTATTCAAAAATTGCTCTTTTGATTAATTAACTCTGTTCACTTTGATGTGTATTCCATATGTATTGTAATTTGTAGTTTATTTGCACTTTTTGGTTTTGTTTAATATGTAATTGTTTATCAGTCTATTTTGTTTGTTATAGCGCTATGACACCATCACTTCACCATCATCATCATCCATCATCATCACAGTCATTTAACCTGCACTTTCATTGTTATTTCCATCATTTTGAGCATTGTCACCACCTTCATCATTTTCGGCCAGGCCATTATTAACATTGTCAGTTTTATTTAAAAAAGCAATTTTCATCTAAACTGATTTGGGTTATGCTGGCAAAATTTGAAGTGAACTGCATTATGCTCTACTAAATGCTAATAATCTTTCGATACCTGCAAACATGTATTCGAAAAAGGAAAGTTTAAACCTTTACTGCTTTGTTGTATGTATGATTTGTGTATTTCTCAATCTATTTCATGGCTCATAATTTTATTTTATTCTCATTTGGGTCTCAAATTAAGTTGATTTAAATATTCTTTCCACAACAACAAAAAATCCAACCACTTTGTTTATTTCTGAGTTTTTGCAATGCATACTGTATTATAATGTGTGGTACTATTTACCACAATCACCTTCTGAATGTTGAACTATAATCATCTATCTTATCATTTCCCTACTTCTCTGTCTAACTCATTCTCCCTGTATGAATGCACTTCTACTCTCCAGACTCTTCCATTTCACCTTCGTCATAATCCATCTTTTACAAAAAGCATTTTATTGATTTCCTATTTTTGTTAATGTATTATTTGTTTAGATTTCGATTTGTAAATATCTCTCTATCTCCGCCTTCCTCCCTGCTCCCTCTCTCTCTCTCTCTCTCTCTCTCTCTCTCATTCTCCCTCTCTCTCTCTCTCTCTTTCTTTCTCTTTCTCCCTCTATCTCTTTCTCTCCCTTTCTCTCTGTCCATATACTTCTCTCTCCTCTCCCCATTTGTATTTTTCATCTTGTCTCCCCCTCTCTCTCTCTCTCTCTCTTTGTCCTATATTCCTACGTGTAGGTTCTTAAGAGGTACTCTACAATAAACCACACCATTGTACCTGGAGGTCCACAGGAAGATGAGGAACCAGAGGAAAGTCCAGACAAGAAAAAAGGTAAAAACGATCACAGTAGAGTTGTAATAGTAGCTGGTGTTATTTCGCCACTTTCATACATTACCAGAAGTCCTAATTTCACTCTGCACTATACATGCAGCATACCCTTACTCTAAAGTTAGACTAAGTTACCTAAAATCCTGATTGCGACCCTATATACCCCCCAGATATAACCCTAATCTTTGATCAAACAAAGCCCAGAGCAATATAGGCAATATAATTTCAAGTTATCTTCACCCCTCAATCTTTAATCTATTATAGCCCTGGTTATTTTGAAACTTCAAAGCCTGGGGGTGTGGGGGGAAGATAATTTTGCCCCCATTAAACGGCCAATCGACGCAAAAAATGTGCATGCATGTCAAGTGAAGTGTATAGAATACTATGGTAATTTTTCCATTTTTTGAACAATTCACTCATTTGCGTATTTATGGTAATGTATGCAATTAAAATCATGAAATTCATGTTTTAACCATAAATCATATAATCCTGATATTGAAACATTTGTTTTCACTACATATATTCTTTGAGACCATTTGGAATAATAATACAACAACAAAAATTGGAAGAGCCAGGTTACTTCTTATGTTATGTATAGTTTTGATAATTTTCTATGTATTTCTACTGAGATCCTTTTTTAACTTATGTATTTTATTGTTTTTGTTGTTTTATTTTATTTTAAACTAAAATTCAACTATCCTGACCCCCAAAACAAACACCTTAACTATAATGAAAACCAAATATTAAATGTTTTATCTCATTTTTGGAAAAATGATATTTTCATATGCTTTATGTACACAAATCACAGAAATGACTTTGTAACTGTAGGTCCGATTTTTGAAAAATTTGTTCCAAAAGATACGCAAGACTCAAAAGAAAATAGTCATAAAATTTCAGCACAATATTTTGTTTGCTTTAACAAATTTTCGCCAATATGTAGAGGGAGGGGGGGGGGGCTAATTAAGCCCCTCCCCCAGGATATATAGGGTTAAAATAATATATAACTGCTATTAGCGATTATTAAAGTATGAATATGAAAGCCAGTTTAATATTATTTGAGCCAAGTTGTTTCATAATGGGATATGGAATTCAGTTTAATTAGGGTGAAACGTTCCAATTTCATTGTTTTGGTTCCTGACTGTCCAAATCTCAATTATTATTTTGTAACCATAATTACCTACACGACTGTAATCAAGGAATTTTATGAAATGAGATGCGTGGAGTCTGTATTGACTTTCATTTTTCGTGTTTTTCCAGGTACTAAGTTTTTTTCTCGAGAGAAGAAAGATGGGACTCCACAACTCACCATGGATAATGATGTATTATCAGGTTAGTAATAAATCATTCCAGCTACGTTAGGCCCCTCAACCAATCACATAGGGGGTCTTTTGGGATGAGTTGATTTGTGGATTGCACATTCCTGAATTGTGTATAGAAGTCTTGCACGCAATATATAGGAAATGAGCAAGTGAGAATCCCTATATATATATATATATATATGTAGTTGTTTTCATTTTCTATTTATAACAGCTGTTTAGTATTTTGAAATGACATGGACAAAATCCCATGCAAATATTTATCTTTCCCAAATAAGGTTCTCTTTGCAATCTACAACAAAAATCACAACTGTTTTAATCATTGATAAAATCATAAATAGAAGACTGCTTTCTAATGATTTGTTACCCGATCTCAGCCCATGAACATATATTCTTGATACCTCCTTTAAAGGTATTAGGTAACTTTGCCTCTGATTCTAAACATAAATACTGGATTAAGCTCATGCTGCAATCATAATTATAAACCTTTAGGTCAGAAATGAATCCCATCACTTTGACAATCCAATCGCATGTTTGATTATCAAGATATCTATGATTGGAATTTAAAATGTCAAAAACAGTTATCCCAGTGGTTTTTATAATAAAACAGTCTATTGGGGAAAATGAATATGTACGTAAGCTGGTCACTCAAAGATTTTTCCTTTTTTTTAAAGCACTTCATGATCATTTAGAAGCGCAATTTTTTTTAGGGCTTCAATATTAGACCACATCACAGACACTGATAACACGTAGGGCCATGCATCTCAGATTTGTAAAACTGGAAACATTGTTAAACAATGCCTTTAAAGTTGATTATTATAGTTAAAAAAAATTAAGACATGATTAACCAATTTTAATGTGAACATCCAAGAAGCAGAATGATTTAGGGAATAAGTTTAGCATAATTTTTCATTATCCGTACCACAATCGCTCTTCTCTGACAGGTTATGTGAACATCTGTGGAGCTAAATTTGGAGAAACTAAGATCAGAAGAAAATGGATCCTGTTGAAGGACATGGTGTTCTCTTGCTCTGCTACCAAAGATGATCCGAAGAACTTCAGTTTCAGCATCCGAGGGATCGATGTAGAGGCGGCTGATAAGAAAGAGGTCAAGATGAAAGGAGCATTCAAACTCAGTAAAGACGGAGAAGTCTACTTGTATATTGAGGTCAGTCAAAGTTATCAAACAATAGCTATCACAGTGACCAAGCTTTATATATATATACACAAAAATTTGATTAGAACAGTCACCACAATTATAAATATTTTAACTTGTGAAAAGATATCTTAAGCATCTTAAACTCCTCTTTTAAGGAGTTCCAATAGATTGCAATTCTTCAAAAAAGTGGAAACTTACAGTGGTCTATATCTTGTATATGGAGTTGTGAATTTCACTTCAATTTTAAGAGAAAGAAATGGATTTTGATCCATCACAATTAAGCACAGTCACATTGCACACCGACTCCAAACCAACTCCACACCAAAAAACCTTTAGCTTCTTGAAGTAATGTAATTCTTGGGTTTGTTTGGACTATGTAGCATGTCTTATGTCGGTTTCGTTGATGTGACTAGGGTAATCTAGATGCAACTGGGGTATAAGATGATCCAGATCTTTTGAAAACTGCAACATGCAAAGCAACATGCAGTATGCCTTGAATCGCACAAAATAATTTCAACTTGAGTGTCATTCAGATTTGTTCATAACAAAATAATTAAATGACACGTATCTTATGGTGATTGTCGTACATACATGTATTTGCAGGCCCTGAACATGCTGGATGCCGGTCATCTATTGAAGCAGCTTGTATCAGCATCCATGAATGCTACACCCAAGACAAACACTGGAGGAAGACGAGCAAGCTCAGGGACTGATGAGAGTGGTGTGGTTGCTAGGTTACTAGCTTCCTACGAGAAGGCATCTGATCAGACAGATAATGCTCAGGTTGGTTGACTTCCCATCTTCTTTTGTAGGTTTTATTGGTGTGAAGATCATAATTACTTGTGAGACTTTGCAGTAAACCATTTTGGTTGGTCCTACGTGGACAAGTACCTATTAGTTATACAAAGCATCTGTAGTGTTTAATTATTTGCATTTTTTTCTTGAAATCTAAATGAAAATGGTCATGTTCAAATTTGAACACTGATTTTGCACTTTTGATTTTATGTTATATTTATTTTCAGTATTAGAGGGACAAGCAGTAGTTTGACGATATGATTTGTGTAAGCCATCACGATGGATACTAATAGTAGAATCAAGTTTGCTTTGCAAGTTTTATTTGTCAAATATTTATTTTGTTTGGCCATGTTTTGTGTGAGTGTAGTTTATGGTCTATTTTGGTGTACTCCATTTCATTTTGGGTCGGTTTATAAATATAAATATGTGGTTGTAGCAGTGCAATCATGAACGTGATTTGTATTCAAGAACAATTATTAGGGATTTTAAAGTTAGTGCATGGTTTTCAAGAATGTTTGTGGCATTTTAGTTTTTCTTTATTGCTCATTGTGTTGATTTCCCCCCCCCCCCCTCCCTATATTTCAACCTCCTTTTTCCTTGGAATTTTGATATTTAGACCAAGAAAGGGAGAAGAATACAATTACAAAATCAGCTGAATAAGGTTTGTCTGCATGTCTGGTATAAGATGCTGTAATGTCTAACTCTGCATGGATATAACCGATCCTCTATTAGATTTAACAAATTATAAAATGTGTTATTGTTACTTTTTTGGTTAAGATCATGTTTCACAGGTTAAGATGCCTTAAAAAAAAAAAAAATTTCTTGAGTACTATTTGAACTGTGCTTTTATTTATTTCCTTGAAAAGAAATATCAATTTAAATTTCCATGACGATGCCTAACTTCCCATCATTAGCAGATCCTTCAAGTGGAAGGCATTTTTTCTCCATTTACCTCGAAGCAGTTCAGAGTTTCTTGTTTTCTAATTTAATTAGCCTCCGCTCCTTAAATTGGCAACTTTTTATCTTTTATTCCTTTTATTCAAAGCTTAAACAAATAAAAATGAATAAAATGAGCCAATGTGACGTGAAAATCACAAAATTTAATTGATAAGAATTGTCAAATTGTACTATTTTTTATTTTATATCACATTGCCAACTTGGAGACTGTGGTGATCAATAATAATTAAATCACTCTTATTCAAGAAAGGCACACAGCTAGACTGCATTGGAAATAGATACAAAATATTGTATTTTGTGTTCTTCCTGCTCATGTGCATGTATATATAATGTGTAATTCAGAGCATTCTGGATCAAAAGATAATACAAAAACATCACTGAAAGGAGACACTGTACTGATGTGGTTTAAAGAACCCAGCAGTTTGCAATTCAAGGGTTTTTAGATTATTGATGAAACCGCTGTTATGGAGTCAACTAGATGCAATAGAATAAGCTCATATGTGGTATACAACATTGACGATAAGTGCAATGATTTCTAAAATCCATCTACTAATCATGATCTTCATGTACATGTAATTTGTTCAATGTTTCTGTAGCTTGCATGGAGTTATATCTATATCAGCATGCATACACAATGTGCCCCAAAATAGTAACTGAATCTGTGCCTGTGTTTGTGAAGTAGTATTATGTGCAGATGCTATCCAAAGAGATTCTTTATGGATGATACAAGCATTTTATATTAGGGTACCTACAGTGCACAGCAGGTATTGAAGGCTGTGGACAGCTTGAGATCATGGTTTCTTACTAGAATTATACATGTATCTACACCTAGCTGTCAACATCCTGATGACCATGCAGAGTCATGTTTCATGCACCTCATGAGTGGTGTATGAAGAAGCAGCAAGATTACTTCTACCACTAGAAAAATGATTTCTAATGTGAGGAGAATGTGAGGAGAATTTTTCCTTTGGTTAATTTACTTCTGATGTTCTGTGCCGGAATTTCAAGTGTATTGAATACTAGCTGAGTATACCACCTTCTGACAGATCTCAGTGTGTGAGCAACATGTTATTCTTACTCATATAACCAGAATGCAGGGAAGCACTTCTACCATTACATACAACCATTTTGTTTCTATTTATTATTTTGTTTGTGGCTAATAACCTTCCATACAAATATTGCTGATTATCTCATATTGTGAAAGCAGAGAAGATTTTCTACCGTAAGTCAGCAGTCATCCTTATCGACCCTTGATGAAACGTATGATGATGTAGACTTATCTCCAAAGCCGGAAGAAAACTATGAAAATAACATCGTCAAAGCAGCACCTCAAGATTCATCAGGAAGACGAAAGATGTTTTCAAATAAACTTGTGAGTCTTTTAAAACATGCTCTAGCTATCAGCCTCTGCCGGGAAAAGCAGGTTTATTGCACAGAAAGACATTGCAGCAGGCTCACAAAAATGCTTCATTTTAAGTCGATGTAATGGAAATATTTGCTCTTAAAGTAGTTGGTGCTATTTCTTTTCTATTTTAAGGAGGAAATTTGAAGAAGGGGACAGCAAAGATTGAGTAATTTAGCTTCAAACCTCAACCTAATGACATGTACAATGTATATATACGGTCTTATCAAATTAGAAACACATGACATGGAAGAAATAATGGCATGAGATGGAAGAGGTGCAGAAGAGGTATTATAGTGTCACTTTGGTGTACACATGGATTTGCTATTCATGCTAAATATAGACTAGACTAAACTCATTAAAAGATTGGGCAGGAAACAATCTATTTCAAACCGCAAACATGAACATTATGACTTCAACATTTTTTCGTTTTTTTGCTTAAAATGTTCTCATTTTGGGGATTTTTTTTGTCATTCATTCATCTACTTAACTCTTACCACAATTGAGATTGAGAGCCACTTGATTGGATTCTAATCCTATTTCTGTTTTGTAAATTACAACGGTAGAATTGCAAATCCCTTCTTGTACCTTTATTAATAAAACAATTATCAAAATGTGGATCACGCTTGCCCGACCATTAGACAAAGAAAAAAAGTCATAGAAAGGCAGTATACCAGTAGTGGTTAGAAAGACACAGTGATATAGAATTAGAACTAGCAGTATGTGATGGGAGAGAGAGAGAGAGAGAGAGAGAGAAAGGCAGACAGAAAATAATTAAATTAGATTGATGTAAGAGAGTGAATGGAAGAGATGCAGACTGAGGTATTATAGTGTCATTTTGGTGTACACATGGATTTGCTATTCATGCTAAATATAGACTAGACTAAACTCATTCAGATTGGGCAGGAAGCAAAATTATTTCAAACCGCAACCATCAACATTTAATATGACTTACATGTACTAATTTTTATATTTTTGCTTAAAATGTTTGGATGTTGTTGTTTATTTCTTCATTCTGTCATCGACATAACTCTTATTTGAGATTGAAAGCTACTTGATTGGATTCTAATCCCATCTCTGTTTTTATAAATTACAACGGTAGAATTGCAAATCCCTTCTTATACCTTTATTCATAAAACACTGATCAAAATGTGGATCACGCTTGCCCAACCATTGGAGAGTATGTGGTGGGAGAGAGAAAGACAGAAAATAGTTATCAAGAAGGAGCAATCAAAGCAACTTCCTTGGTGTCGTAGTGTGTATGATGCTTTTGAAATACATGCATGCTTTTATTTATCTAAACATATTTGTGGCTTACACCCAGCAAATAAGATCGATTGATCGATCTGTATTGAAAAAAATAGTCAGAAAAAATCTTGGAACCAGCGGGACTTGAACCTGCCTCTACTGCTTGCCGGGCAACGACTCTACCACCAGGCCATCACTGGTCCATGGCACAGTCAATCGATCTTATTTGATGGGTGTAAGCCACAAATATGTTTAAATAATTGAAATTTCTCCCATGAAGCATTACATTTATAAATACATGCATGTTTGTTTGTTGAGATACAGAAGGATGTCAAGTTTAATTCATGTTCTCAGCAGAGAATATATCACCATCTGAGAAGGAATGATTGCTTCCATTGTTAATCCTGTTACATTCCCATTTTAATACATATCAGAAGGATCATTGGTGCCTCCATTGTGTTGATTGGCTATGACTGGTTCTGAGCTAAAGGAAAGTCAAAAGGGCTTATTTGGGAAAGATTTGATCATATAACGGTGTACATTTTCCTTTTCCTTCACAATTTGAAAGTATCATATATTGCCTTCATATCATGAAAAGTTATGTTTTTGTTAGTCTTGTTTCCTTGAAGAGAGGGTAGTGAGTATGGCATTGCACATTTCAACCATATGATATTTAAACCTACAGTATAAGCTGATTTTTTTGTTGTTGCGTATTACCAGTATCTCAGGGAATGCTGTGAACATTTTTAATCAAAAATTGATTTAAAAAAATTAATGCAGAAGCATATAGATGTCATTTCCTCACGCATTTGATTGTATATGATTTGTTTAATTATGGAAATAACATATTGTGATTAATGTTTGTTTATAAATCCCTTGAGTATGTAGGCCTACTATGTCATTGTTTAAACATTATTATTAGTCAAGGGTGTCATATAAAGTAATACTTTCTTATTAATGATTTTCACATACATGTATATTTTTCACCACAGTGTTTTTTTAAAATTTGTATTATTAGTCATGGATTAAGTCATGTAATCATCCATGGTATATGGCATCTACAATACTATAGGGCAGTCAACATGAGTGCTCTTCGGTGCTCCCCCCCCCCCCCCCCCAGCTACATACAAATAGGATTCCTCTACCACATCATGAGTGTTTCATAGTAGCAATTTATTTTGCTTTATCCCTCACACAGTGATGCTATAAGCAGGTCTGGTGCTCCAATACAAGAATCCATATTTACTTCTACCCCTCTAATAGAAACCAACATACATAGATGACAAGGGCTTTAAAAAGGGTGACTTGCTCTCATTCATGCGATGAATCTTCATCCATCTAATTACTGCCCTCCAACCTTTTTGTTTTGTTAATTGCAATGAGAAGAAGTTTAACAGGAATCGTCAGTCTACAGGAGACCTGTATGAAGATACTGTATCACCACCACCCCCAGGAGCCGGACCGGAATGTCTCTATGACGATGTCGACGTCCTTCCTCCTCTTCGCCCATCTAGTGATAAGACGGCAAGAGATAAGAAATCTATGTCATTACCAGTGAGTCTGTGACAACCATTCTTACAAAATAGCAAACTCTTCCTGAAAAAAAATTCTTGCTCATCTTCTTTGGATAAAAAACATTTCAGCTCTCTAAAAATGAAGGAATGATGCTTGCAGTTTCTAAGTACTAAAAAAAATCATATCACTACCTATAAGTCTTGTTTCTTTAAACTTACAAAATACAGCAATTTATGTTTACTTATACTCCTCTAATGGTTGCTAAAAGTTTTGTTTGTATTGCACTTCTTTGGAAATGAATCTGCACCACTTTCTAAAAAAGATAAATTGTAATTGTTATTTCTTCATACTGTCTTCTTTAACAGATTTAATAACTTCCGATTTAAACTTTCCTCTTCTTTTGCATGCCTTTGGGATATTTGCTACTGACAAAAAAGTTATGAAAACATATTTAGTTCTTCAGCCCTTTGTCCTTATCTGTATCAAAATAGGCCAAGATTTGCAAATACATGAATATGATTTATTTATTTATTTTTTATTCATTTTGTTTTATTTCAACAGGGTAGCCCATCAGTATTTAAAATACTGTTATACTTGGGGGCCCATGCATAACTTAAAAATGCATATAAAGACATACATGAAAACATCATTACATGGTGAATAGTAAACATCATATACAAGAAAGAACACAGATAAAATTTCAAATGTACATTATAAAAACCCTACGCTTTCCAGCTATATCTGAGCACTGGAAGATATTGTACACTGGCCCTCCCCCTTGGTGTCAATGACTACAGAAGCTACAGGTGGTATCTACCTAGTATCCTGTGGTATCCAATATGTTAGTCTGTTGAGGATGTATAGGAGATAACAATATTGGGTTCACCATAGATTCAGATTATCTTCAAATTCAATGGTAATAGGTTTTGAGGGGGCGGGATGTGTTACTAGTGTGTGTTTTGTTAACCTTTCATATTAATATTTTGAAATCAATATGGTATTAACAAGGCGGTATATGATGGTGAACTAATAAAGATATTTTTTTCCATTTGTGTATTAAACATCCATTGTGAACATAGACAAAGTGTGTGCAGAGAGCCAGAAAGATGTTAAGATAGCAAAATAAAAAAGGTATGTTCACAATTTAACACCTATCTGGCTCTCAGCAGACTAGGTCTTAAAAACTTTATTCCTAATGGAAGTCAAGGCCATTATTAGACTTGATGGGACCGTGTGGTTTTTGAGATCACCATCTGTCCTATCTTGTTATCCTGTGCACCTGTAATGGGTATTCTTGATACTAATGATATTCCTGTATTGATGGAAATGTTTGAAATGCATTGAAGTGGAATTAGTGCATGACATACCAGATGAAAGAGAGAGGGTGTGAGGGAGATATATAGAGAGAGGGAGAATGAGAAAGGGAGAAAGGGCTATAGAGAGAGCGAGATAGAGAGAGAGAGAGAGAGAGAGAGAGAGAGAGAGAGAAAGAGGGGGGGGGGAGGTAGGGGAAAGAAAAAAGAGGAAGTATGGTGCAGTACAAAAGAGAGAAATGTAAATGAGTATTTTGCTTTTATATAATGTCCTATTTTCATAACTTTAAACAATGTAAAATGTATTATATCATTGAATGTTGAATTGTATATCTGATTTCTTGTCAATTAAAATAACGTTCTGTTGGAAAATAAAAATAAAAGTAAAACTGAACTGAAACAGAGTATGAGCACCAGAAGGGTTCGTCCACACTATAAGACATTGGCTATACAAATATGTTACATCAAATCCTTGTTTACAATGAAGTTTCCATCTTGTAAATGAAATGTGTGGTATGAAGGAGCCTTTTTGTATCCGTCTTGTCAACGGCTTCGTTCAGTTAAAAAAGATAGGTGTAACACGTGCATGTAAGGGTAATGGTGTATGCAAGCACGGTCATGGATTACATATCATGGGGCTCCAAAAACAAGGAATTGGAGCTCCCTGAATTGACTGACCAATCATGAACACTTCCAACGTTGCAACAATCTCTAATCAAAGAGCTTTGGTTTGGATGTAGGTATTATGTGATGAACTCTGCTTTATACCTGTCTATGAATGTGCAGAGTAGAGTCTCCTTCATCTGTCTAATTCTTTTGTTCCCCAGTCCCCCTTACCCCTTTCCCCCACATTTGTTTTATTTATAGCTTGCGTAGTATATCCTGTGTGCATACATTAATGATGTCTTGCTTTTAGGTATTCCCTGTGAGAGGAAGACAAGTCATGTAGAGGGCATCATCCTGCATTTGTTTCTTCTCTGATTTTTGTAATCATGTTTTATTGCTTTACATGCACTATGTCAATATGATATGTTTAGAATGAATATGATATTGGTGATCTTTTATCATACCGGGCATGGTGGCTCAGTGGTTAGAGTGCCCGCCTCGTGAACGGGCGGTTGTGGGTTCGAACCCCGGCCGAGTCATACCAAAGACTTAACAATGGGACCTTCTGCCTTCTAGCTAGGCGCTCAGCATATTAGATTGGAGAAGGGTAGTAATAACATATTATGTTATGCAGGGCCCGCTGGAAGAACAGTTTCATAACTGAAGTGGCTACCCTGGGTAAATAAAAGTTATTATTATTATTTGCCAGCATTGTTTATATTAAGCAAAAAGTGTATTTCTCTCCATGCTACATACATTTCAAATAAAAACATGTTTTAGTCTCACGTTTTAGTCTCACATATAATGCACACTCAGAAGCAATGTACAGCCTGGAAATGGTCTAAAGAATTCATTGCAACCCCTACAGGAACATTTAGAAGTTGAATAAATTAATTTACTAAATCTCTGCTACAAGAATAAGATGATCGATCTACGAACAAAATTGCTTTGCTTATATAGACATGTCACTCTTGATCTAATCATTTTGATCAGTCTATGAAACAAACCACACATGAGTAACAATGTCCTCTGAAAAAGCTCCTAATCACTGCTTAAACCTGTTCATAATTCACATACATCCATATAACATATTTCTGTTTCCTATGATCACCAAAGTCCGAGGACAGGGTACCAGCAGTTTTTGAAGATCTTTATCTGGAGGTTATAAGTGATACTGACACCATGGCAACCGCATCTTCATCTTCAGAAACAGCTCCTGCAGTCGATACGATCCAAAGCTCTAATTCACTCCAAGCCCCCTCCACTCCTCAATCTCGAATAAAGAATTTCAAATTAGTAAGTTGCATTCTGATGAGAAATGTAAGTGGATCCTATATAGCCCCCTGCATCACTGTAGACTGGTAGCTAGTACTCACATCCTTGTAACACTTTCTACGTTAATGATTTATCAGCTGTCACAAAGTCACACAGTCACTGGGGTTGGTGTAATACTGCTTGGGTGTACGTAACAATCCCACTCTTTTGGTTTGATAATCCTACTACCTATTACTATGATGATGCCAGAGAAGCATTGTAATAACATGGATCTCTGTCCAAATTATTGATTGATGTTGAATCTATATTACCCTGACTTTGCTCAATCTTTCTACCACTCTCTCTCTCTCTTTTTAAATTTAATGCAAAATTAACCTTTATCACATCACTTAGCCTCCTGTTATCTACCCTATGTATATCATACAGTGTGTGTATTCCCTATTTCTATCCAAGATTCATCAAGATTATTAAAAGAAAGGCAGCTTTCTGTTTTGACTATTAACTCTGTTTTACCGATACTCCACTTCATGTATTTCCACTTGAGAATTGCAACTAGCCTGTAAATCACCATCTACCTGCATATCATTCCTCCACACATCTTTGTTCACTTTCAAACCACTTCTTATGATATTCATATGCAATGTGAAATTGTTGGTTAGGAGCCATAAGGGTGTTAACTTTATTATTTTACTCACAGTTAATTTCCTTCTGGCTCCAAACACACACAATGAATATTTGTATCAGACCAACCAGACATGCACTCATGATAGAGAGTCTAGCTGTACCTACATTAGTTTGATCTATGCTGCTGTAGTATTGTTTAGTCCACTTTAATAAGGCTAGTTCATACACGATGCGGCAAAACTATGGTGGATTTTTATGATGATGTGAAGTGTAGTAGATGCCATTCATTTACATGTTAGTAAACTGCAGTGGCTCTTATACTGTGGTTTACCTTGCCATATCTGAACAAGCCTTGAACCCTTCCCAAATCCTGGTTGGCAAATTCTGCCCCCCCCCCCAAAAAAAAAAGAAAGAAGAAATAAATAAAAAAAATAAAAAATAAATAAATAAATAAATAAATAAATAAACAAATTTAAAAATTTAAAAAAATTAAATAGATAAATAAATATTTTTTAAAAAAAGATTAAAAATTAAAAATAAATAAATAAATAAATAAATAAATAATTAAAAATAGAAAAATAATAATAATAAATAAATAAATACAAATTACAGTGATGAACTCAATTCATTCTGAAGCATAAATGGGCCTTATCAATGTACAATTTTTCTAATGGAAGATATAACTTTTGAGAGATGTAGATTCCCCAGTGAAACAATGAAGGGAGAGAAAGAATGTTGTACCCCTTTTTTGATAATGGCATGCTTGTCCATTTTTGTTCATGTATATTACTCCTTTCTTTACTGTTCCCCTTATTAAACTGGTGGCATGGTGGATTTACAAAACAGTATATTATGTTCTTTCTTCAAGAAAGTGATCCTGATATGTCTCTTTCCTTGTTTGCAGTTTCATAATACCAGTAATCTCTACTGATCTGTTCCTTCTTTAGACGACCAGTCCCATTATCTGCTTCTATCTACAATATTCCCCTTTTTGTTATGAACACTTCACAACACACATGCATTTTATTTTTGTCTTCATGTACACCCTAAACACATAGCCTACATGTGTCTTTTCACATAGGTATACCATGCTGGCTGACATGTCATCATTGTATTTTGATTTATCTTGGCAATTGTACATCTTTTCACTTGCTTATTCCAGGCGTACTTGTATTGCTCATGGCTGTGTAAGTATGCACACCAATATGATATTTCAAGTGGGATAACAGGCATTCACAGTGTATCTGTCTTATTTTTAGAAATATGATTAGTAAATATGTGTCAAAAAGACATTTTAGTTTCTTTTATTTTTTTATTATAGCTAATGTTGATATTTGAATCAGGTCAATTAGTATTATAATAATAACAAAGTACATTTTAGTACATTTTGTTTTCATCCAAACACATTCCTCTAATAAATTTGATCACACTTCACATGCATTTTTGTACACTTGACTATTACGTGGAGATAAAGGAGAATTTAAAACATTTACAACAATGCTCTATGATTTGCTGCACCAGAACATACGATTGTTAGCAATAGGAACATCTTCTTGTATCTCCATCCCCAAGTATTTCCGGATATTGAACAGCTACATGTAGATGTCACTTTGACTTCGGTGCTCTAGGTTGTTTAACTGACCTGAAACTTGTCTTTAAAGGCCACCCAAGGCAAACAGGAAAACTGGCCTCTGTGGACAGGTGACCTTTCTAGACAGGTCCTATACAACACAGATTTCTTCCTTGAGTGAAACAATATGGGTGGCCATTATAGACGGGTGGTCTTAATAGGGAGGTGGTTGGTAAGACAGCTTTGACTGTGATGTTTTAGAATATTTTGTATGTCTGTCCTCTTGACATTTAAAATATGTTTAAGGTATTTTAATAATATGGCATCAGGGATCAATACCGGTAGCACAAATAGTACAAAAACATTTGTTGATATTTTGTATTAGAAAAATATTCTTGAAAAGCATTTGAAGAAGAGTAATTACCGGTTTCATGCTGCATTTCTATTAACATTATTTTTGCCAGTATAAGTATTTCAACAACTATCAGTGATTCACATCTATCTTATGTTGGATATTAGAAGATGTACAGTATACAATTGTTGTCAAGAGACAAACGATGATGTGAAGAGAGAGAGAGAGATCAAGATGGAGAGAGATTGGGAAAGAGAGAGAGAGAGAGAGGGAGGATGGGGTGGAGAGAGAGAGGTACATGTATAGGTATTAGGTTCCTGTATTGATCCGCAAGTGTCCTTTGCCCCAAGGAGCTACGTGCCCTTTGCCCCAAGGAGCTACGTGCCCATGCACTTAACAAAGTTATTTTGAAGTAATCTGGAAGTATTCTTCTAAATGTTATCATTTTCAGTTTCAATAATCTATTTCACTGACTATCTTGTAATATTCTGTATGACTTCCTTATCTTTTCTATATCAAATATCCAAACCAAACCACGAGCAATATCCAAGTTTGTTCACACATTTAGTCGCTGTTTTCACGAAGTGACGGTAGTGAAAAAAAATGCATTCACTTTGCGTTACGATTTTCCTCACTACCGTCACTTCGTGAAAACAAGGACGATTTGATGATATTTTTTCATGACTTTCTGATATTTCATGTGCATATTATTTACTCAAACTCATATCTGTGTATTGTTTTGTTTTTAATGTAATGTGGCTGTGTATGTGTACATTTGATAGAATTACATTCCATATGTTTATTTAGTTTATTGTGTCATTCTATCTTATATTGTATGAAGATACTTACATCAATTATCCTGAAACATATACCTCCTTTTTATGTTGCCAGCACCATCTTCTGTGAATGAAATCTTCATTTATATTAAAAATATTTCATTCATTCAGAAGTGGTTTATATGTACTGTAGAAGTAGTAGCACAAGTTCAAAGTATAATTACTAATTGCACACTATTAACATCGCATAACCCTTATTCAGCATGTACATGTATATGTTATGTTTCTTACTTTTCTTTGTGTTGCAATTAATGAAATGCTTTTTACCAACATTTTTCATGCTGAACAGTTTTTATATCGACCGTGCATGGTTCAAAGGGTAACCTGTAAGTTGTATCATATCTTATCTCTACAAACAATTCAAGGTAGTGATGAAATGTTAGAATGAAATGTTTCATTTTTTAATTTAGATGGGTCAATATTTTGAAACTTTTGTTATCTTTAGGGAGATATCGAGCACAGAAATGTTCACAAATAATTAATGACCTCTTTTCATGATAAAACTTAAGCTATGAATATTTGGAATAGAAAATAATAGAATTATAAGATTTCTAATTTGATATTCTATATTCTCAATTTCCTCAGAATTTCAAAGTCAAGAAGGACAAAGAAAAGGAGATGATTAGTCCGACTGAATCGGCTCCTGGTGAGAAGAAAGAGACAGAGAAGGAGAGGAAACAAAGGGAAAAGAAGGAGAAGGAGGAGAAGAAGAAGGAGGAGAAAAAGAAGAAAGAGAAGAAGGATAAGAAGAAGAAGAAAGAGAAGGAAGAAGTGGCGGAAGTAGCTCCTTCTACCCCAACAACTCCTTCAACTCCACCAATTCTGAAAGTATCGGAGAAGACAGATGAGATGAAGAAACCATCTCCTGGTTTACAGAGGAAAGCAACAGGTAGATAATCAGTTCTAGATATCAATGACCCTAGCTTCCAGCTGCCTTCCCAATGTGAACATGCTCATGTATATCAGGGCCTTCCTTAGTTGTACACCTGTCTGTAATCCTAAGGTATTGTAGTCAGTGTATTGAAATTTCTGATCTGACACATTAAAATGAATGATTATCTTATTATTGGTGGTCAAATTATATAACGTGTTGGTAATGTTCCTTTGCTAGGTATCTTAGGTATACATTTGTTTCCTGTAAGCTTCATATTATAAATGTTTGTACACAAGTTTTCAAAAGTATAGAATGATGTTAACGATCAAATGTGTATTACCCCAAAATATAATCATTACTTTGTATCATATCTGAATCTTGTCTCCCCTGACATTGTGATATGGTATAGGGTCACACGTTTAAAACATTTAAATTTGAAAATATGTTAACATTAATAACACAACATCCCTATACAATTGCCTAAGCATGCATTTGTTTCATAAACTTAAAGGAAACTTCAACCCAAAGAATAAGTGTAGGTATTCTGAAAAAAGAGATGTATTCCTGCCCTTTGATGTACGATATCCCTTATGAAAATGTACAAGAGATATGTAATCAAAGGTATTCTCAGCATCAACTCAGAAATTATCGGAGAAGACAGATGAAATGAAGAAGCCATCTCCTACTTTACAGAGGAAAGGATGTCTTGATTTTATTGATTTTATTTATTGAATATCACCAGTGAATAAATGCAATGATTTTAATGAGAGATGAATATAGGACGTAAATGCCTAAATGATTTGTATGTTTTGTTAACAGCGCCAGTAAATAAATTCAAGGATTCTAGCATGAGCCATCTATTGGTGAAGGATAAGTTGATGCAGGATAGAAAAGAGTTGGAGACACAGAAGACAGAACTCAGCACCAAGAGAGGAGACCTGAGGTATACCTGAAAAACAATATCGCTTAAGATCATCTACCTGTATGCCATCCTGAGCTCCTACTCATTTATACCACACCACCTAAACTTGAATTCTTTAATCGCCTTGGATTGAAACCAGTAACTGCCACATTTTTCATGCGACGATGTTCAACTTTAGCTCTCAGTTTTTATAAAATGACTTGACCTAAGCATGGTCAAGAGTTTGATTTTGTATTCTTTATCTTGTCTTTATTCTTGAACTTCAAAATGGGATCACGATTGTTTGAATAAGATATATTAAAAGACTCTCAAGACAAAACTTAAATGACCTCAAATATCCCAGAAGACTTAGCTTATGTCTCTATAAGGACAAGGTACAGCTGTTTGGATTATCTTTTTGTAAAGCATTTTTCTTCAGTATTGTATGACAATCTTAATGGCAGAAAAGTACACACATGTGATGAGAATGAATGTCGGGTTGCCCGTCATATTAAAGGGAGTGTGTCATGACGAGACTATGTGTCTTTCCCGTGGCCCTACCCGGGGTAAATCGGATATAATGCGACGCGACCAAGGGCATTCGCGTGTGTGCAACATATACGAAACCCAAGAGCGAGGAGAACTTCTGTCTGTTTCGCCCGCGCTAGCATGTACTGTCCTAGTGTAGTGCACGCTGACCCAGTTAATCAAGTCCATTTGTTTATGTGCAGTTGTCTAAAAGAAGACGTAGATGGCGTCAACCAGTAATTCCCATGATACACTCCCTTTAACCAGTTGATATGACTTACATACATATATCTTGGGCTTGGTATCTTGGTTAGTATCTGATGGTTTATTGTGTAAAATTTGTTCCCTTACAGAGCTAAGAAGATGTCATCAACAGATCCAGTAGAAAAGGAGAAGATACAAAAGGAGATTGATGTCATTCAAAAAGAATTATCAGAGCTTAGCAAGAAACTCGTCAAATTAGCTTCTGAAATGGAAGATGCTACAGGAAATAAGAAAGATACTGTGAGTTTTTACTTTACTAATGTTGTTGTTCTTGTTTTGTTCATTTCTTTCTCTCTCTTTCTCTCTCTCTCTCTCTGTCCCTCGCTCTCTGTCCTTCTTTCTGTCTATCTTTCTGTATCTTCTCTTTCTCATCGTCTTTACCATTGTCAGTCTCTTTTGGATCTGTATGTTTTAATGATTTTAGGTGTTTAACTTGTGACACAGGATATCAATAAAACAGGTATACTACAAGGTTTAACTGTTATTTATTCTTTGATTGTGAAATATATATTTGTCATGGACATGTTTTGTGAGAGCCAACTGTCTTTATGCTGGAGTATATTTTAAGAAATCCCAAAGTGCAGAAGTTTGATGACTACCAGGAATGTTGTTGATTTGTTTCACCAAGCCTACTGTTGCTCATTGGTGATTACTTCATTTAACAGGGCTCTCATCATTCGGCCTAAACAAATAGATGTTGTATTGCTCTTTGCGACCGACCAAAAAATGTTGAAATCTATGGTCGGCTTTAAAAAATAAAAATAAAATGTAATCGTTTTGTAGAGAAAACGAAATATTAAAGCATTCTAAAAAAGATTTCTGACCGACCGACCCATGTTTTGGCACCTAAAGGGCAATACAATATCCTTTTTGTTTAGGCCTTAGAATAGTGCTATACATGTAAGTGGGCACATCATCTGTTTTTCTTGGATTTGATTGTCATCGTATGATTTTGTCAATTAAGGTAATTGTGTTTTAATAGTTTCAACCTCAAATATGTTATTTGTATTTTTTAATAGAATAATCCCCCTCCTGAGGTGAGTGTGTAATGATCTTCACAAATAAAAATAAAAGCACTGGCTAGCAAATACAAGCATTTCTAGATCATGTTCAAACTACTAACCTTTTTTTGAATGTGTTAAACCCTGATTATTATATTTTTGTTTAGTCAGATTTTCAATCAATTGTGTGCCCTAGTATTCGTCCATACATGAAGGACATGTTCTTTATGAGTGTTATACGTTTATGTGCATCCCATTAGACAAGTAGTATCAACATTTTAATTGAATTTCTGACCCTCCACCTCCTCCCCCCCTCCCCCCTCACCCCCCCCCCCCTCCCCCCTCATCCCCCCTCCCCCCTCATCCCCCCCCCCCCTCCCCCCTCATCACCATGACATAATGTGTCATCCTAGTTATTTTGAAGGAACCAGAGCCATTGTCAAAACTGCATTTTATATACATTTATTTATTTATCTTAGTGCATTCTGATTTTCTTCTCAAAGATGCTCCCACTCTATCCAAAATCAAAGTATCATTTTATTCATTGATCATGTTGAAGAGCTTGTAGCAGATCATTGATTATTCCTTGAAAACATTTATAATCACGTTTGTTTGATAGGTTGGTTGGTTTGTATGTACTGTTTTTGTTATAATTTTGCACGATATGAATGAATTCCTTTGAATGTTAACCTGAAAACAATGGTATCACCACTCCCACGTCATAATATTATTTGATTTAATGATTTAGTGGAGTTGCTTATGATTTTTCTCCCTTTCCTAGGAATATATGGCACTGACATCTATTTTCTAAATTTCCTTTTTTTTTTTTTTTTTTACTTGTTCACATGTTCTGAGTCAGCTATGAATTCAAAAGAGACAAGAAAATGATTGAAAACATTACTTATCCCTTGCTGTTCCCAAGCCAATCTTAGATCACCCAGTATTTGTGTATGATATTTCATTGTTATACTAATCAAAACCACATGTTGAAAGCACATTAGATCATCCCTGCAACCAAACTTGACTATTAAAGGTAGCTCAACACCTGATTTATTTTAAAGACGAACCAAGAGAACAAAACAACTATTGCTGCTGATATTTCTTAATTGGAAAGTGTCATTTGACTGACAGATTCGGTTCTAGCTTAATCAAGTTAGAAGTACGTACCAAATCCATGTCTTGATGGTAAGGGTTCTATTCATATGCAATAAAACTATTATCTTCAACCATGAAATGTTTTGTGTTTTTGGCACCTGTTTACTTTCCACAATGTTTTGCTAATTAACCTACAAAGCTAAGAAGTTTGAAGGAAAAAATTGCTCAGCCTTCTGTCTGGCACACATCAAAATATCTTTTTTTTTCTCCATCAAATTAGAAAAAATAACCATTTCACAATGTACTATATATTTTCGCTGTGTTTACTCTGTCAAACACAAAGAGACACTTTCTGATCACTTATTACTCTTAGCAACTTCTGTAAAGAGCAGGTTGAAAGCCTATCCACTGCGTTAACATCAAGATCCTTAAGGCCTTTAAAACCAGTGGGAAACTCAATAAGAGCCTGGTGGATAGTGCAGCTAGAAACTGGTTGATGGTCAGGTTCTTCGCTCCATTCACAGCAGTCAAGTAGCTCAGTTCTTTTGAAACCTGCTGTAGCATTCACCTAAAATAAGAAAATCACCTGTTTGTGGAGGCCATCTTATCAATTCCTGTGAAGTTATGTTTGTAATTCAAAGATTTGTTAAAGGAAACCTGGTTATATAAACAAAACAAAAAACCTTTTGGGGAAGACTGCTTATGTTTCTCCCGTGCACAGTCATTAGATATATAGGTTTGATTGAATTATAATTTTCTCTTCTTTTGAAACAGAATGCTAACAGCACGTCAAGTGACTCCTCACCTCTCACCAGGAAGCCATCGGTGAGAGCTGCATCACCTGATAGAGAGAGTGTTAGCAAAGGAACAGTGTCAGATAGAATGAAGGTAAGTTATTCATCGCATGATTCTCTGTTTAGAGAATTCTCGAAACCCAAAGGTTTTTTTTTCCATTAATTCAATTTGAACCTGAGGCTAAGTCATGTTGAAGGAAGAAAGAAAGGAAAAGCTTGGATTCCAGTGTAACTTCTCCTGTTGAACTTGACTCTTAACTGGGTGAAACATTGCAGTGGGTTTAAAGTTACTGGATTATGGGCCATATATAGATTGTATTATATATATTATATGATAAATATTAATAGATTGCAGTGTTTCTTCGTTAGCCATACCTTGTTTGCTTTCTTGAATATCCAAAAAGAATTATACAAGTTTTCACATCATCTTTTCCAATGAAGTGTTAATCATACCTGTTTGCATATTGATTTCAAGAGTCTGATAATATTGATTCATTTTGGCTTAACAGGAAATATGTGGCTGTTTCTGAAAAAAGAATCTGTATGGGTTTTAGGTGATGTCAATTATGTATAGTCCTTTGGTTATTCTTTACACTGTCCCAGTTACCATATGTATCGTTACAGAGTTAGTAGCCTGGTAGCCTCAAATTGCCATCTTCCTTGCTTCTGTTCTTTGTTAATTGTTGGAATGGAGTTTGAAAAGTGGAAAAAACATAATATTTGTATTCATTTGTCTTTTGTACTTCGAGGGAGCTCACACTATGAACATGACTGACAAAGAAAGCGGACAAAATATACAGTTCCTCAGGTAGACGAAGGAACATCCCTTCACTGCTATTATGTAAAAATGTGTAGAACAGGTGTCACATGCATATTCACCTTTTTACATAATAGCAGTGAAGGGATGTTCCTTTGTCTATCTGAGGAACTGTATATTTTGTCCGCTTTCTTTGTCCGTCATGTTCATAGTGTCATGTTGACAGTTTACTTCTGAATCATCTTTTCTTTACCCTTGTTGCTTTTCCTCTCAACTCAGGTCTAGTACTTAACCTTATCATTTACAATCTCAATTTGAATTCAGATGTTCCAGCAAGGCAAGTGAATGTGAGAGAACTCCCTGCATCACAAGATATTCCTTCTACGAGTCTGGCTTGATGTTACCATAGATATTCCTTCTACGAGTCTGGCTTGATGTTACCATAGATCTTCCTCTGAGTCCTCCAAGTCTTCCAAGTCTGAATGATAAACCATACTGCCAATGGATACCATGAACCAATAGAACCCTGAGATGAGGTTCTTCTTCCAAGGGAACTTTAGCTCTCTCTAAGATCCCTGTCTCCATTTCATACTAAAGATCGATATGAATTCACTATTATGATAGCAGGTCACTTGAAACCATGGTGAAGTAGAAAAAAAGATATGTATATATATCATGTCCCTTGTACGATAGTGTTTGGTATAGTTTGAAAAAATGTAATTGAAATGCATATCGTATCAATATTAATCATCTCCAATGGATTGAGACGTACACACACCATTAAGTACTTTGCAACAACAGAAAGACCCTAAACATATATAACAGTAGTAAGACAATATTTCTGTTAAATCTAATGACAATATGTGAACGTATAGCAATATGTAAAAGTCTCCAAACTGAGAAGAAATGCATGACCCTAAACTGGTGTTTTTTGTCTCCAATTGATTCTGACCTACATTAGATGAGTTGTTATTATTCTTGGTGTGAAAGTTTTTTCTTCTTTTTTTTCAGTCACCACACCTAGCATTCCCCCTTCATGTACTTGTATAAAGTAATGTATTGTAATATCAACAGGAATTAGCTTTCAATTTTCATGGTAATTGTATTAGTCCTGTACTGTAGACAGCAATGATGAAATCATGCCATGATGCGCACAGAAGGTCAGGCAAGGTGTGTGTTACAGCAAGGTAGTGGGAAATTCATTCATATTTAATTTTATTGTGTCAAATTAATGATTATTTTTTATATAATGAAAGTATTCAGTTGATCTGAAGATAAGTAACATGTATATTCTTGTATTAAATGGTGGATAAGGGATTGAGTTGATAAAAGACATAATGTTTGTGAGTTCATGCAAACACTTTAATAGTGATGATCCATGTGAAAGTAATTATAGGTGAACAGTATGTTGTTTTTGTAGTTGTTTATGAGCAGCTTGATTTGTGATATGTACACTAAGCTTGGTCATAGCCAAGACATTTTATTCTGTAATTAGCTTCTCTTAACTCAAGTGCAGCTAGAAGATACCTAGTAATGTTGGTAGGAGCTGTTAGCTTCTCTTAACTCAAGTGCAGCTAGTAGATACCTAGTAATGTTGGTAGGAGCTGTTAGCTTCGCTTAACCTGAGTGCAGCTAGTAGATACCTAGTAATGTTGGTAGGAGCTGTTAGCTTCTCTTAACCTGAGTGCAGCTAGTAGATACCTAGTAATGTTGGTAGGAGCTATTGGAGCTTAGAGCCAGGCTGATCATCATTTATAATGAAAGCACAGTGATAGGTGCTGCAATATAAATAAACATAATTCATGTTATTATGAAGATATGAAATGCTTGGTCATAGGTTGTATGAATTGATTCTTTTTCATATGATTTGATATAATGGTAGTGTCAACAAGTCTTATTTCCATTGGTCCTATTTATTGATGCAATGAATTTTTTGGAGAGTGGATAAAGTGAGAAGTACAGCTGCAATCCACACCATAGATATTCACAACTCATATTCTAAGTTAATTTTGGTTAAAAAGAGGGAATTGCATTATTTATGTGTTGTTGATTATGTTTGGGTTGAGGAATTGGAAAGATAGTCAATCAGTTTTATAAAGGAAAAGAAAGCATTTTGATCAGTGGTCTGATATGTTGTATAAAATAAAATAAGAATAGAGCTAATGAAAAAACACAAAGCTTACTCCCAGAGTGTTTTATATTTCAGGTTTCCCCCTGAAATCTTTGTCTTATTTCTGTCATTGACATAAGATGTTATTGCATGATTTCATGAATAAAATGCATGTACATTACAGTTATATTCTGTTGTAGTTTCAAATTAAGTTTTTGTTATATTTAGATCGGATAATGACAGTACGATTGCCATAATGAATAGAATCGATGAATCTGAATTACAACCTGTTTGAGATTTCTTTTTCCATTCACATATATTCAGCGCTGGTCGCTGGGACTTCCCAATGGGTTTTTACTTTCTTTTTGTTTACTCAGAAAGGCTAAAGCAAAGGTGTGACGTAAGGGATTGTGGTATCATAAAACATATTAATACTTAGATGATTGTTTGGGTGTGTTTCGTAAAGTGGTACCAAAATATACTGCCCCAAGTTGTCAACATTTATATTATGTCGGTACTTGTTTTTAATTTACAGAATCTATTGTAATTTATGAAATATGCTGTTCATATATGTTTCATGTATATCGTTAGGATTAGTATGAAGTTGTATATGTAATTAAGACTGCTAACACAATTCTGTGATTGGATATGAAATATTTAGAGTAATGACAAGAGGGTATCAACCTTTAGCCTTTATGAGTCATTGAATTGTGACTCCATGTAAAACAAAATAGTCATTTGAATGATATGCAACTCATCAAACACAAAATGAGCAGTAATCATCTTTATTGAAATCAGAATATGTTAGTTTCTAAATATTTCAAGAAGAGAATACATTTTAAACATGAGTAGCAAATGAATGATTGATGTGAATTTTAAAAATATAAACTGATCAACTATATACTTTTTCACAATGTATTGTGTGATGGTCAAATAAATCAGTTTTAAGAGTTACACATGTCGCATCTTCCAATGCCGTGATAGGGAAAGAAATACTCTAAAGGGACAAAATAGAAATATGCATTGAGAGAGAGGTAAAATGGGAGATTAAGATCAATGCTAATTATCAAATAAAGATGACTTTTTGTAAAGATTCTTTTTCATGCATGATTAAATGTGTAGATATGATATCATCAGCAAGCATGTATGATTTAACTACTACTTCATGTCATAGAATGAGGTTTTAAGGTGTATAAAGCATTTCTTAGTGCATGAAAATGAATCTTAATGCTTCCAATATCCATGCAAACTTCTTTTCATGAAAGATAATACATTTTGTATAATATCTATATTTTGTATCTCTTTTTGTAAATTCAAAGTAGTTTTTTTCCATTTACATGATAGCACCAGTATATATTTTGACATGAAAAAACATCTTGTGAAATGTTATGATCAAGGTGAGGCCTTAGAGGTTTTTCTATTTGTTTTATTGTTCAACTAAATATCTAATGACGTTATTCATCAAATTGTAGTTTTGAAATAAATACTTCGCTCTGTTATAATGCTATTGCTACCCAAGATCGTTTAAAGCCACTCTACCCAAGATAGTTTAAAGCCACTCTTAAGTTTATGTATTATGTCTATGTAGTTGCTAGTGTAGTATGAACTATGTTATCTTATGATTTCTCCTTTTTCTGTGTAAATCTATAATCATATGCCTTCCAATGTAAACATACCTTTTAGACCTATATATTTATATCTATGCCAATCTTGATGAAGAAGTGGAGAAACATTATATCTATCGGGGAATCTTCAATCTCTGATGTATCTGTAAACGATTTTAAGAAATCTGTATATTGATAATTTTTTATACTCAGAACGTGTCTTTCGTAAATAAAAAATAAATTTCATTTATCCTAAAAAAAATAACACATTTTGTATTGCCATTTGTAATTTCCATATGTACAGTATTCGCTCTCAATTTCTTTTTGCCATAAGCTCTGATATCAGACCTTTATTTGGAACAAGTTTCAGACAACACTAGAACCAGCCATACAGTATGCCAGTTCAAGAATATAAAGGTAAGAGAAAGAGAAAGAGAGAGAGAGAGAGAGAGAGAAAAAAAAACAATCTTGTTAATCTGCCAACTATAACGGCAAAATTGTAATTATTACGAATTTCAGGCCCTCTGAACGAAATTACGAATGCAACTTTAAGGATTACGGATAAGAGCACAAATTTCCTTGCGCGTATTGAATATACACATAATACATGGACGAATAGCAAACTCATGTGAAGGCAAGGGCAGCAATTGTGCAGCGAGGGGGACACGTCGTTCTCCCCCCCCCCCCCCATTTGTAAGGATGGGGAACACAATAGGATATCCCCCCCCCCCCCCAAAAAAAAAAGTCTTGTTTTTTCGTGTATATATATATATATAGGCTCTATGGGGCCCAACTTCTTAAAATTGTGCCTTAGACTCTAGAAATAAAGGACAAAATATGCATTGGGATTTTGATCTAGGCTAACAAGGGGCGTTGACTTTTCCAGTTCTCTGATTGGCGAAAACTGGTATTATTATAGATCATCAACCAATTATTCGCGCGGATCTCGGTGGTTAGCGAAATGCGAGTTGATATCATCATAAAAACTGGAAAATTAAACCCCTTATTTGGAAGTGAGGCTGGTTTAACACTCAAATAGTGGTCTTTTTATTATCGTCATCTTGTGTGTATGATTTATGAATTATGGAATTAAATGAATGAAATAACAACGTTAGACTTTTCTCACATTTTAATATATGAACACTTTTAAAATAATATAAAATACAATAAAATAAATAACGTAAGACTTTTTCCACAAACAATACAAGTACACTGTACAATAATATGGAATACATCGAGTTGCAATGCCCCTATGGAGTTTATCAAGATATTGTCACGAATAGCAAATGAGATAAGTAAATATGCATTACTATCTGCGATCTAAATTGGACACCTTGCGGTTTCTGATACTTTGTTTCCATAGATTTGACTTTATTCCTAAATATATGTTGATGTAAGCAAAACGATAAACTCCTTGATATAACTATAAAAAATGCTAGGGAACCTCGGTTTAATAAAATAAAAATCGTTGTTAGATTTTCTAATTTTGAGGGGGCAAATTGACTAGGGCGGGAGGGGATATACCTCTTGCCCTTTAAGAGAAGGAAAATGTTGCATTTTAAAGTTAAAAAGACACACATACATCTCTCTGTGTCTTTTGTCGTATGTCTTGTATCTTTCACTCCTATATCTCCATTTCCTTCCTTTTCTCTCTGCTGTACGCTACCAGTATATCAGGATGGAGATAGGATAACCCCATAGTATTTTTGATAACTTATGTTATCCCTACTTACTGATTCACATACTATTATAATAATTATAAGTGCGTTTTCGAGCAATATGTCCCCTGATATTAGTTAACTTTTTTCCTCCCTTTTCCTTCATCTCTCCCCTGGCTCTCACTTTAATTTGTTTGTTATTGCAAGTCGATGGGGGGGGGGCTGCTGCCCTGCTCTCGTAACTACGCCACTGAGTCAGCCTATACTCTGCTGCAGCTCAAAGAATGAGAGTCGTAACTCTGGCAATGTAACTTGCTGCAAAAAGCAAAAAAAAAAGAGATACTTATCTTCTAAACTCAATTATAAACATGCCCTAAATATTCTCGAATATGGTCTACACATCAATAGCTTATTTTCCGTGTAAACTAGATCGAGTCCATTAGCTGATTAACTCGCAGTCTCGCACATAAGACTGCAAAATCGTTTCGCCAAAAATACTTTGGTCAATACTCCGGAGTTGACAAGCTATCATTTGAGTTATCGATAATCAAAGGAAGATTCATAATATGATGATATATGTGTCATAAATTGACACGAGCACTTAATCGTGGAGAACTTGAAAGTCGGGGGAGGAAGTGAGGAAATAAAGTCGACAGGCCTTGATTGGCAGCAGAGGTTGAAATCGATCATTCTATTATTTCTGCTTTGTGTTAACCAACTCTACATAATAGACCTTACTTCAGCTTTATAATGCTTAAAACCGATATTTAGATCGCCATCAGAATCTCGATTCTGCCTCATCTTCTTCATGTAACCAAGGCGGTGTCAAATGCAGTGTCAATCTTCATTATCTTGGAACCTGGGGACTATAGTAGCAAAAATGTCTACTCTGAAAATGTACTGTTTCTTTATCACATATTTGACTTTACCACATAAGGATTGAGAAAAGCGACATGCAAGTTTAGAAGCATAATTATTTACTATGACTATAAATTATTATGCCTATGGGATATTGTCCACATCATACGCGTACGCAGGGGGGGGGGGGGGGGGGGTTATACCCCCCCCCCCTTGAGATTTTTGTATGTGTATGTTTTGTGTATCTTTTTTGTGAACCCCCCCCCCCCCACTGAGCGACTTTTCGGCCGGTGCGATTTTCAAATTTTCGGGAGCAAATTTTGGGCCCGATTTTAAAACCCCTCCCTTGAAAAAAACCTGCGTACGCCACTGGTCCACATCATCAGTATTATCAACGTTCCATATTTACTCTCTAATTAATTAATTAATTTAATTTAATTAATATTTAAATCCCAGAAATTTCTACTCGCTCTCTCTCTCCTTCAAATTCTTGAGTCAACTTTGTACCGAGACTTAATTCCTTTTTAGATGTAAAGGCAAATCGATTCCGTGATTTTACAAACGGTTGACATCGTAAGGCAGATCAAAGGCGTATCGAGAGTGTGTTTAGGGTGTCAAACATCCCCTTGGCAAACATGGGGTGTTTAAGGTGTTCAAGCACCTCAATACTTATATGCTACATGATCTACTTTTTCTGATCGATTCCTCACCGTTTTTTTCACAATGCAATCGCATGACCAGAACTCAACTTTATCTTTATTTTACTATGATTCAATTTCCTTTTGTAAACTGTTTACGTGCAATATTCGGGTAGATAACAAAACAAAATCATATTTAAATGCATTGTATCCAAAATTACAGCGACAAACCCGGATCCAAAACTAAACTGACCTGCTGTCAGTAACACCGTATCTTCTTGACGAATATGAGGCAGGACAGGGAAGGAGGAGAGGGGGAGTGTGGGGGAGGGAGGGGGTTCTGGGGTTCAGTACATCAATCCTAATTTCCATCAGATGATCACAAAACAGTGTTTTGGGGAAGGGTGCGCCCACAAGGATATCTCAGGTAAGGCGCTCTTTACCATGGGTACCCTCATTTTTTAAAACTGTGTTCACATTATAAACACATATTTGGTCAATATATAACATGATGTGAACACGATTCATTCAGTCAATTTTTCATTCATTAATATAATTATTGTGTATTGTAATCTAATATCAAAGGTATCACGATCGAGACTATTAATTTTCATCAGCCAAGATGGCGTATATCATGTGATGGAAGCGATTTATTCTTTAATAAACCTGTCAATCATAGTTTCAATGAATAAATAAATAGGGCAAACATTAACAGATTGGTGGAAATATGCTGAAAGGTAATGAAGTAAAATTTGAAGCCCCAGAAACAGATCGAGATTTATTAACTTCTACTGCAGGCTCAATATCTTCTTGATCATAGGCTTTATTGACGTACTAGTCAATTAGTCTCTTACCCTTCTTTTGTTATATTTCTCTTATCAAATTTACCCTAAATTCAATATGACATGATGATCGTACGTTCCTGTTCTCTTCACAATATTTAAAGCTTTCAAACCTGTTACCACGTCTATTTAAATTGACGCCATCGATCTAGCTGGATATCTCATTCGCCTAAATGCTATGTCCGAAATTGATAAACAGTATTAGATGTGATATGGTGGATATTTTTGTAAAGACTTTGGATGACTGTGAACATTATACAGTTTGACAATTATACAAATGCTGTTATTGACTTACTTACTGACTTAAGTGCTCAGGACGGAGTGTCCCCTTGCGCTCCTACGGGTGGTCTGCCTCCATTCATTTCTGTCCTGGGCTTGGTGTTGGGCAGCCTCCAGGCTTAATCCAGAGTCTTGGCGGATTTGGTCTTTCCACCTCAGGGGAGGACGTCCTGGTGGCCAGCTGTTATTGACTAGACATCAAATTATTGGAATAATACAATCTTTTAACAGCTACAATGGAGTCTATTAAAATTGCGTCAATTACAATTCTTACTCTATTTATTCCTTGTATCATTGTTGGAAATGTATTGGTAATTTTGTCAGTGTATAAAAATGAAACCATGCGTACACCAACAAATCTAATACTGGCAAGTATGGCGTTTGTGGACCTCTTGGTTGGACTCATCGCCAATCCTCTAGAAATTTTGCTCATGAAGAATGCCTCTAACTGTATCCCTCAACTGCAACTCATGGCATTCCTCACGCTTCTAACATCGGGAGTATCTTTCCTTCATATCGTAGCGGTTACAGCTGACCGATTCATTGCAGTAACGAGGCCGCTGCGGTACCGTAACATCGTAACCAGTTACCGCATTGGCTGCAGTATCGCTCTCATGTGGATCGCTTGCATTATATTGTTTGCCGGGCGTACCGCAATATTTATGACTGACGGTACAAACAGGACGTTTCACTGTTTCGGGGACCACTATATAAATGCTCCGAAGGCAACTATTGCTTCCGTCTGGACTTTTGTGTTTTTATATGTATTAATGGTCTCCTTTACTATTGCACTCAACGTTCGTATATTACAAATTGCTATTAAGAAATCACGAACCATTGCTAACATGAGAATAATTGACCGTGAAAGATTAGGTGCCCAAGATGGTGTTCTACACATGAAGGCATTACACACAATGTCTCTAATCGTCGGAGTCTTTGTCATCTGTTGGTCTCCATTTCTTATCTTCGAAGTGTTGGCATTGGTAGTCCCTATGTCCGAGATGCTGAGATCAGTGCTTCTTGTGATAGGATTTGCATCAACTTCATTTAGTTCTCTCATCAACCCAATCATTTATTCGTATCGAGATTATCGATTTCGACAGGCATTTCTAGTCATAATTCGAGCACCTTTCCGATCTATCTTCTGAAGAAAGGAAAATGTTGAAGATGTGTCTGCGTTTTAAAACGTCGATCATGAATGCATATTGATTTGCATAATCAACATGGACTGTCGCCATTAACCCTTTATATGTAATATAGTAGGTTTCCACTGTATTTTGAAAGGGATTATATCTGTATATCAGTCAATTCTTGTTACAAATACTACCTCATAAGCATTCATGATTGTTTTAGTCTTTTTTGGCTGTGCATCGGCTTCTTTGTAGGGTGAGCTCATCTATTTATATTAAAGAATTATATCTTATTTGCAATTTGTAATGGCTCGCCTTTATCTCTCAACAAATCAGTGCTATGGTCTAGTTTTCAAGTTCATAAACGTTTCCACTTTCTTAACAACCATTTCATTGATCAAAATACCTTCAAACGATACTTTAAAAATTAAAATGTAGATTAAGATAGATTATTAGAGGGGAAAAGCACGACTGACATTGTTTATATATTTGTGTGAGACTTTGATTTTTTTCAGTTTTTTCATTGGCATTGTGAATAATTCAAAAAATGTATTATCTTCTGATGTTTTGATTTGTACCGGTTTTGGTTTGTATAATATAATTCAAGTTCATGTGATTTGTCATAAGGATTTTTCAACCAATCTTAATTTGGTTTCATTTTTGTCAAGCCTATTGCTGAAATTAAGTTTTAACCCCGTCTATTTAGATAATCCAGAATACAAAATTATGTGGATGCGATAACATAAAATGTAATGTACTAATAAATATTATCCATGTTATTGCTAAATCTTTGCTATTTATATTTGATATATCGCTGTTAACCGGTACTTTTGGGAGTAAACTTAAGAAACCTAAGATTGACTCAATTTATAAAACAGATGATTGCCAATTACCTCACAATTATTGACCAATATCTTTGTTGCCTTGTATATCGATATTATTAGAAAGTGTGTTTATAATCGGCTGTATGACTCCTATCCGAAAAAATAAGATACTTTTAGATTGCCAATATGGATTCCGGTGTAATCATTCTGCAACTCATGCTTTCATTCATTTCCAGGACAAAGTGACATTAGCAATAGAAAATGATACGTCTTGTATTACAATATATAGGGATTTTTTTCGGAAGCATTGGATAAAGTAGATCACTCAAAACATTTTTCCGATATTAACTATGCCGATGATACAACTCTTCTTTATTAACATTTTACTTAAAAAATGTATCAAGAATTGAGCAATGTTTTTTAGTGGTTGAACACTAATAGACATTCACTTAATCTTACTGAGAACGAAAGTGTGTATTTCATAATAAGAACTGCATTTCTAGCATCCTTGATGACGCAATATCCATTTCCAAATCATATGTTTTTACTTTTTCTGGAGTATTGGTAGCACTTCATTGGTTGCCCATGAATGAACGCATTGTTCAGTAACATTATTTTTCTTTTATTCATTGTTTCCATGATTCTGCTCCACGGTACAATATCACTTCGAAAGATCTTTACATCCCACCCGCATCTTTACACTTTTAAAAATCCGAATTTTGTGTTCTTCCTTGGCTAAATTGCAAGGTTCATCTTTGATTTTCTGTATTTGTTTGTTCTATTTGAATTGTTTTAGTTTTTACTATTAGTTGTATGTCCTTAATCAGCACCATGATGAAAAATCAGCTTTGCTGATCATGCTTTTATCCTGTATAAATATGTTTCAATAGATTAAATAATACAAATGGTATACTAGGTGGGGAAAGAAGTTTGCTCGTTCAGAGCCTTCTCGCTTTGGAGAGATTAATAGCAGATCAGTTGAAATGTTTAAACATAATCTTATAACCTATCTTTTTTTAAATCAATCATATTTCTCAGTGGGAACTATGTCTTAATTTTGTTTAGTTCTCCTTTTTAATTTCATATAAATTGTAAAGTGAAAAATGTCTTTTGTACATTGCCGATAATATTGATTACTCTGTATTTGCCTTGTTTTGTCGTACGTATACATGGTTATTTCCTTGGATTGTATTTTTATGAAAATTAAATTACGATTAGCTGAATTTATACTTGCGATTTCTCTAAAAGAAGCTCCTAACTTTTCATCTGATATATTGTACAATAATCTGTGTTTGATGATTCATCTTCTGTTACTCCATCCTAAAGAGTCTCACACCAAACGCACCCTTACACACACTCACGCGTATACACACACACACACACACACACACACACACGCGTACACTTTTTTTTTTTTTTAACAATTTTGTTTTATTTCTCCAGATGTGTAATACAAACCATGACATACAGTTGAATAAAATAAACGTGTTCAATATTGATGCTTTTACATAAACATAATTAAACACAAACTTATTTGCAGTATAATATAACTTAGCAACAAAGTAAACGTATGAGCACCGAAAGGTGGACCTGTGCGCTATATAAGTAGCCACTATTATTATTATTATTTTATTATTATTATAAGTACTTAAACACAATTGTAAATGTTATTTACTTATATATTACAAAAAAAAACAAATCTGGAGGTAATTTTACTGAAACAAGCCTGCCCCCTCCCTGCCCCCTCCATCACACAGACATGCTCACCCTCTATCACACAAACATACTCACCCACTCACACACATACTCACCCACCCACCCACCCACCCCCCCCCCCCCACACACACACACACCCACACACACAGTACTCACTCAGTGGATGTCTGCCAACATTCTCAACTCAAGAAAAATATACTAAATAAGTTATCCAGGCCACTAAATAATCTTCAGGATCAATCTCATGAACTGAATAAGAGTAACATTAAACAGTTGGAAGGTGGTTCAGTTCCTCCGTTTAGAAACAGGGGCTTAAAATTTGCCCATTTGAATATTCATAGCTTAGTTGCTAAGATTGACGAACTTAGATTACTTCTGAGAAATGCATCATTTGATGTTATTGGTTTAAATGAAACATTTTGCGACTCCATGATTGATGATTCTGAATTGTATATAGATGATTATATTTTATTACGTAGAGACCGTACGAGACATGGTGGTGGTGTGGCTGTATATATATCCAAGAGGTTCAATTATAAAAGAAGGGATGATTTGATTTCATCTACTTTAGAATGCCTTTGGTTTGAATTGCATTATCCAAATAAGTCTCCCATCCTGGTTGGAGAGTTTTACAGACCTCCAAATTCTCACGTTGATTTCTTTGAAGAATTAGACGAAAATTTGGACTCTGCTCTCTCGGAAGATATGAGCTGTATTATTTTAGGTGATTTCAATTGTGATTGTATGCCACACCAACTTGATCTGAATGCTGAAAAGTTAATGTTTTATACAAATATGTACGGGCTAAGTCAGCTAATTGATACTGCCACAAGAGTTACAAATACCTCTTCTACTTTAATTGATTTGATATTTGTATCAGACAAGGAACTTTACAATGAATGGGGAATATTTGAAACTAGCATAAGTGATCATTATTTGGTGTATACGGTTCGCGATTTTAGTGCAAAGATCCATAACAAATCTGAATACGCAGAATTTCGCTCGTTTAAAAATCTTGACGAGGAGAAATTTTACAATGAATTGAGAAGTACTCCTTGGCAGGTCATAAAAGATATAGATAATGTTGATGTTGCGTGGGATATGTGGTTGACTCTATTCAATAATATAATCAACAAGCACATACCAGTATGTAAAAAGCGGATAAGAAAAAAGGCATGTCCATGGATATCTGACGAGATTGTTAAGCTTATGACGGAACGTGATAAAGTTCTCAAAGCTGCTAAAGCTAACAAAAGTGATGATCTTTGGGACACCTACAAATATCTAAAGAATACAGTTATTCATCTCATGAGGAAAAGAAAAAGAGAATATAATGCAGACCAGATCTCGCAAAATCATAACAATAGTAAGCATATGTGGAGATGTTTGAGAAACCTGGTGCCTAAGTCATTACCTATATCTCCCAATAGCATAAATGTTGATGGTGCTAATGTGTCAGACAATGCAAATATTGCTGAAGCTTTTAATGACTTTTTCATTTCTAATGCTACTAAGATTACAAAGGACCTGCGAAGGAATAAGTCTCAACTGAGAGTAGACAAGGACAAAAATATTGGTCCAACTCATTCGCAATTTAATTTGAATTTGATTACTGAGGATTTTGTATTGAAACAGATTGATAATCTGAGTATAGATAAAGCAACTGGTGAAGATCACATCAGCTGTAAACTTTTAAAGATGACGAAGAATGTTATCGCAGAGTCTCTTTGTGATATCATTAACAAATCCCTGTCTACAGGAGTTGTTCCACGTGAATGGAAAAAGGCTCGGGTAGTACCAATATTCAAATCTGGAGATATTTCTTCTTTGAATAATTACCGCCCCATTTCAATATTACCTATCGTGAGTAAAATTATAGAAAGGGCCGTCCACCAACAACTCAGTGAATTCTTGGACGTGAATCAATTATTACACCCTAATCAGTCTGGATTTAGACCTAAACATTCAACAGCTACTGCCCTTGCAAAACTTGTAAATCAATGGTCGTTGAATATTGATAACAAAAACATTTCTGGAGTTGCCTTCATAGATCTTCGTAAGGCTTTTGATACTGTTGACCATGAGCTACTTCTACATAAACTAGCTTGTATAGGTTGTAGTAATAGGACTATTTATTGGTTCAAATCATATTTAGGGGATCGACAACAAGTGACCCAATTCAAAGGAGCCAAGTCGCATCCATCAACCATCAAATTAGGTGTGCCACAAGGTTCAATTCTTGGTCCCCTTTTATTTTCAATATATGTTAATAGTCTACCTGAATGTACTCCTGAAGGTATCATAGATATGTATGCTGACGATACGACACTTACCGTCAGTGCATATGATGCAACTGTTGTGGAAGAAAAATTAACTGTTGC